GCGACATGTGCTTGATATCCACAGCGATACAGATCACGAGGCTGAAACAGCCGAGGAAGACGGAGGCTCAGCAACCAGCAGCGACGTTGGCGAAGACTCAATTCCTGGACTGAGGCGCCGATCAGGAAGCGTGTCTTCCTATCTTCCTCCTCGAGCGAGGTCTTTGGCCCCGCTGCCGTTGGATCCGGTTCCTCGACGGGACAACATAGCAGCGCCAACGATCATGCCGCCGAGTCTGATAGGCTTCCTTCGAAAGAATGTGGGCAAAGACTTGTCGACGATTTCGATGCCCGTGTCGGCCAACGAACCCTTATCCCTTTTGCAGCGTGCAGCGGAGCAACTGGAATACTCACAGTTGCTGGATAGCGCGATCCGCTGCAGTGACGGGTTTGAGCGACTGATGTATGTGGCAGCATTTGCCATCTCATCACTGTCGAATGTGCGAGTCAAGGAACGATCTATCCGCAAGCCATTCAACCCGATGCTTGGCGAGACGTTTGAGCTGGTGCGCGAAGACCGAGGCTTCCGCTTGATCTCGGAGAAGGTTTCGCATCGTCCTGTGCAGCTTGCACTGCATGCTGAGTCGGAGCACTGGACCTTCACACAGTCACCTATGCCGTCGCAAAAATTCTGGGGCAAGTCATCGGAGATCATCAACGAAGGGAAGGCCCGACTGGTGCTTCACAGCACGGGCGAAGCATTCAGCTGGTCGGCGGCTACGTGCTTCCTACGCAACATCATCGCGGGGGAGAAATACGTCGAACCTACTGGGACCATGACCATTTACAATGAGTCTGCTGGTCACAAGGCGGTGGTGTCATTCAAAGCCAAAGGCATGTTCTCGGGTCGCAGCGAAGACGTCGAAGTGCAGACCATCGACGCGCAGGGCCAGGAATTGTCTATGGGCTTGAGCGGGACATGGACCAACTCACTGCAGCTGAAAGAGCCGGGCAAACTGGGCCAGCGGTCAACCATCTGGTCCGTGGGCCCGTTGGTGGAGAATGCCCCTAAGCATTACGGCATGACGCTCTTTGCGGCTCAGCTAAATGAAGTGACGCCAGTGGAACGAGGAAAGCTACCGCCCACCGACAGTCGTCTCCGACCCGACCAAGTGGCATTGGAAAACGGAGACCACGAGACGGCGGAACACCTGAAGAATCAGCTAGAGGAAGCACAACGGGCACGGAGAAGGGAAATGGAAGAGAGGGGCGAAGAGTGGAAACCGCGGTGGTTCTCGAGGGTGGAACTGGGCGACGAGGTAGTGTGGAGGTTACGGACGGGCAAAGAGGGATACTGGGAGGAACGAAGTCGGGGAGAATGGACCGGGGTGGTGCCGGTGCTACAAGTATAGACAGTCCGGCGGGGAAAGGCTCAAGAGCTATCTATAGAGTATACACCAAGTACAGACAACGGAGACTTGTTCTCTGGGAGGAATCACTGTAGGTACGAGGTACTCGATACCACACACTGAACACCGAGTACCTACAGTAGTACTGAGTACTCGATATCTACAACAACCTTTTAACGGAGGAGGTTGGGAATTAGCTACTCGTACTCGTTTGTGGCTCCCTTGGTGGCCCCTTGGCCCTATCTCAATCCAATAACAGAGCCTACGGCCCCACGTTCTCCAGGGACGAATCCGAGTAGTGCTGGTGGTGCTTAGCATTTGATTAGTCCGATGAACACGAGGTAGGTAGATACAGCATCCACTACTTTCTTTTTTAAAACGAAGCCTTGATGTCACTGTAGCACGAAACCAAGGTTCATCTCTAAGACTCTAAGTTTTTCATCATGGTTCTAAGAATTCCTGCTAATCTCATCCCGATAACCCGCTGCAATCGTATTTTTTCCATGTCTTCCTTCGTATCTTTCGGTTCCTGTTTCTGCTTCCGCTTCCGCTGTGACCCGCAACACTCCCTCAATATCTCTCTTGTCTCTGATCTCAAACCCCTCCAAATCCATTTTCCCCAGATTCCCAAAGCACTTTCCAAAACCCCTTTCATTCCTTATCTTTTCCCGGATAGTGCTCGTTGGACCCTATTTTTGCTGCTGTCCTTGAGTTCTCGTGTGTTGGTTTACTATTCTTCTGGCACATTTCTATTCTTTCGGTTGATCCTATCCATACCCAAAAATAAAGCGCGCATCCGGGAAGCATTGAGTCTCTTGAGCCTCACACCACCATTCTCACTCTCGCCTGCATATCCGCAATCCTATCGAGAAATGGACATTTAGCGTCTCCCTGACCCATGGTCCTGGAACGTTCCGCCCTTTCGCATCGCACACTGGCCACAGAATAGACAGCAATTTCTCCTTCCTGTCTCCAAGGCAAAATGAGCCTCGTTTCCTCCTCGCTACCGCTGCTGCCACTCGATCTCTGATCTATATACGAACTACCTACTTATCCAACGGTCACCGCAGTCGTTTCGGACGACTGAACAAACTAAAGAGAGGGGGACATGGCCATTACCCGACGACCGTCTGCGCTGCATCGAACTATGAGTACTCCTCCCACCACTCCAAACACAGCGCCAAACGCCGAGTCCAAGCTCCCCCATACTTATGCGAGCACTTCGGTCCTGACTCCGCCCACCTCTCCCCGCCAGAGTCGATCTTCGTCCAATATCTCGGAACTTGCGACGCCCATTTCCGTGCCGGTCATTCAATCTCCTCCGGGATCAGCTTTGAGGCATCAGGGGCCCAGACTCGACCTCCTCGACACCGATACCGTCGCGCCGAGCATATCAACCGACGCAAGTGTTACTGCATGCCCCTTTGACGTTGAAATCCTCAAGGACGAACGTGGTCGAGATGCTATCTTCGGCACCGGCGCCTGGAGCACAGTCTACAAAGCCACCACACACGCCAAATCGAGAACCATCTCAGGTTCTCTGACACCGCCGCTCTCGCCGACATTTGCCACACCTATCCTAGTAGCGCTCAAAAAGCCCGCACGTCGAGACGCAATTCCCATTCTGAAAAGCGAGGCTAAACTCCTCACTTACCTCCGAGCCATCCCGAGCAGCGATAAATGCGTTGTTCCCTTCTACGGCACCGTCGATGAAACCTCTCTTGTTCTCGAGGCCATCCCGTTCAGTCTCGAGGACCATATCCGAAAATGTGCAGCTAGGGCTACCCAGAACTTGTCCACTTGGACCATGACAGAGCCGGTCCTCGGCAGCGAAGCAAAATGGTTTCATCTGGCACGCCAACTCATTTCGGCTCTTGCGTGGTTGCACAATGATGCACGAGTTGTCCACGGCGACATCAAGCCTGGCAACATCCTCCTAACTCGCGTCCAAGGATCAGGAGTCGACATCACCTTTCAGCCCCTGTTCGCCGACTTCTCGTCGGCGCAACGGCTGGATACCGAAGACACCACGCCGAATACGCTGTCGGCCGTTACAAGAGAGTATACTGCGCCCGAGCTTCTCAACTCCAAAGTTCTCCGCGATCCAACGTCCACGGCCACGCCTGCTTCCGACGTCTTCTCCATGGCAATCACCTTGTTGGTGGCAGCCACAGGGCAACTACTGGTCTACCCGGGATCAGTGTTCCAGCGACAAGCCATGGCCACTCAGGGTTGGATGGTTTTGAACTACGCCAGGAATGGGGAACAAGGTTCAAGATTACCCAAATTTGGGCTTGTGGAGAGAGTGTTAGAAAGGGCAGTCCTGAAGGCGGATTTGGGAAGGGTCAGCGCACAAGAATGGTTGGGTATTGTTGACACCATCGCACAAGGTGATCCTGTGAAACTGTGAAACCTAAATACGAGGCGTGTTGAGACCATGGCGTATTGCTTGGGAATACGAGTTCCAAGCCGGATTGCAGCTTGGCAAAGATTTCTTTGGAGAGATAGTGACATGTTTATTTGAAGGTCGGCTCACTTACGTCTGGGATGGGCTTGAGTGGTCATGAGGAGACCATCTGTTTGACTAGGACCATGGCTTGGACGGGAAAATGTATCAGGTATTTTGTCGCTCAAAAGGGGCTTGGGGGACATGTAACCTGTGGGATTTAAGCATGTCTTGCGACTATGCCATGGCAGATTGTTGTATTTCTAGACAGCCACATGGAATTAATGTGTATGAGTGAACCAAATATCCTTCAACATGTACTGTACTGAGATGTTCCTCTACCTCCACACCCTGGCAGCCCTGGCAGCCCTGGCTATGATATGAGCCTCACATGTAACCCGTATTTCAGGCAGCCTTGCCAAGCTACAAAGGCGCTAATATGCCAAGTCCCACCGATGACCTCATTGACCTGGCAAAATCCGCCCACCCATTGTATATCAACTGAAGACTCATTTTTGTGACCACGAATACTTGGGCTTCAATGGATGGAACGGCTTTCCAGGTTGGCCATCCTCTCTTTTCTGCCGCTATCATTGGCCCTGCCTCTGTCTGCCTCTGCCCAGTCGACGGGAAAAGACATCCAGCCGAGCAGGGTCTTCTTCTGCTCGGACTTTTTACCACTAGCAGCACCTGGTAACGACATCCAGACAACCACTGCATTTGTTTTCACTTGCCCTTGGCCACATCATTTGCATAAAGGCGAAGATTAGGCTTCTCTGAAGATGAAGCTACCTAAGAAAAACAGCCTGTCACCCTACCTCTGGAACAGGCATGACATTCGCAACCTGCGCAGATCTCTTACCTCCCTGAGAAAATGAGCAATCTCTCCACCCTCCGTCCGGCTTTCATTGCCGTATGACTGAACTAGAGGATGTGTTCCAGGCCGTCGCTGGTAGGTATTTCTCGTCATACTCCATGCAAGACACCCATAGGAGAAGTCGAGCTTGTTGATTCTGACATCATTTTTCAACGGGCCCACCGCGTCTGGGCTTAGAATATGAACGTGTTTGCAATATACAGAATATCTACTACTCACTTCAGTCAACTTGTTCACCGGTTTCCTACAAGATATTATTTGTGTTGTCTTTCTTGTTCTGGATCTCTATCGTTCTGCTTGTGAGATTTCTGCGCCTAGGCTTCGATATCATGGACCCGGATTTTGAAGGCCGTGTTCTGGTCGTGGCCAACCGTGTGCCCATTTCTATCAAGACCACGCAAGAAGGCGAATTCGAGTACAGCATGTCCTCTGGGGGCTTGGTTTCCGGGCTCAAGGGTCTGGCCAAAGCAATTGACTTCAAATGGTTTGGCTGGCCGGGGATTGATGTGCACCGCAACGACAAGGACAGAGTACGCCGACATCTGCAAGACAAATTTAACGCCGTGCCCATCTTTCTGGCGGAAAGCCTTGCCGAAATGCATTACAACGGGTTTTCAAGTACGTCCTATCGCGGCCCGTATTCTTTTCTGGACCATATCACCCGGACGCGATACTGTTATACCTAACTAGAGAATGGCAGACTCAATATTGTGGCCTCTATTGCATCGCATGCCCGACAGAGCTGGCTCAGATGAGAGGTGGTCCAAAGCGTACCAAGAAGTCAACGAGATCTTTGCCGACAACATCGTCCCGTACGTGGAAGACAACGACATTATTTGGGTTCACGACTACCATCTCCTGCTCCTACCGGGAATCTTGCGTGAGAGACTGTCGAAGAAAAAGAATCTCAAGATCGGCTTCTTCTTGCACACTCCGTTCCCCACCGAGGACTATTTCACCATTCTGCCCTTCCGGGAGCAGATCTGCAAAAGTTTGCTCCTCTGTGACGTGGTAGGGTTTCACACAAATCAGTACGCCAAGGACTTTCTGGAGAGCGCTCGCATCGTCCTCGAAGGCGTGGCGAGATCTCCGAGTGATCTACACTGGAACGGCCGCAAGGTGATTGTACATGGCTTCCCGCTCGGCATTGAAGCAGATGAGTGGAAGCAGAAGCTGCAAACAGACGCGGTCAAGCAAGAAGCGGCCAGCTTGCGGGCCGAGTTTGACGAGCAGATAATTATTCTCGGGGTGGACAGACTCGACTATATCAAGGGCATTCCCCAGAAATTACGCGCCTTTGATCGCTTTCTGACAGACCACCCGGAGTGGGTGGGTAAGGTTGTCATGGTACAATTGGCAATTCCGTCACGAGAGGATGTCGACACATATAGAAAGCTGCGGGAGGAAGTTGAATCCCTTGTTGGGTGCATCAATGGCAAGCACGGTAGGATTCTCGCTTTCAAACCCACCTCGTGTTATGATTGAATCTCCTGGGTCGAATGTCTACTGACGCTGCCCGTTGGCGGATAATAGCAACATTTAAACATACGCCGATACACTATCTGCACCGGTCAGTGAAGCCGGAACAGCTCTGTGCTCTGTACGCAATTTCGGACGTTCTCATCGTCTCCTCGATCCGCGACGGGCTGAACCTGGTGAGCTACGAATATGCCGCGTGTCAGGAAGAACGCAAGGGCGTCCTGATGATGTCGACCTACGCAGGGGCAATCAAGACGCTGCCCCCGTCCTCACTGATCTTGCTTAATCCCTGGGATACGCCCCGATTTGCCGAGAGAATCAACCAGGCCGTGAATATGGGTATGGACGAGAGGGCGCAGAGGCACAAGGAAATGATGCAGGTCGTGGATACATGGACAAGGTCAGTATTCCCTTCCCCCCCCCCCCTTTCCCCCCTTTTGTTTCTGTCGAGAAGGACCGCGAACAATGGCAAAGCACAAGGAGCAGTGTGGAGTATATACGAATATGACAAAACAAACAAGTACGGAAGCTAACATGAAAAACGCATGGTGAGTTGAACAGTGTCAAATGGGGCAAAGCCTTCCTCCACACCATGATGACCATGGAAGTCCCTCAAGACGCCGAGATGCCGGACCGCGACCCGTTGGTGGGATGGACATCAGACGTCCCTGACTCGGAGACGGGCACGATTCGACCCTGAAGAGAGAGAGAGAGAGGAGGGGGCCTGTTCGTGCACCACGAGGGTTGTTGAATTGGACTGGCGGCCTTAATTTCCTTCTCTTCAGAGCCTTTCACCCTTTGTTGTTATTCGACGAATGCAGTAACTACCAGCACTCAGTTATCTTTAACCCCTGGTAGGAAAAGCAAACACCAGAGATTTTCAAAGGAATGGAATGGGGCATTCGAGCGAGATGGCGTGGACCGATGTACATGTCGATAAGTATGATATAATATGATATACCATGGTCTCTTCTTCTTCCACATAAAGACCACCACTCGGCTTCGCTCTGAATGTGTTGTTGACGTGTCTGTGTATGTATATCATCATACCTAATCAGCCCATACCACCACCGCAAGAATGGAAGGATGATTCTCGCTCCAGACTGAATTACTGCCTTACTGCACAGCCTAGCATATCTGGTTGATTGATTAGGTATATTATGAGACCCGGTGCATGGCACGTCACAGATATCGGACTGTGATCTTGACTGTTACAGTATACGGCCATGCTCCCTATAAAGCTGCTGCTGGCTGGCCACAGAACTCATTCCACCTGCTTTCGCCGAAATTGGCGTCGTGTCAGCCATGGTCATTATCATTCGAGCGTCACCGCGTCTCCCGGCCACAAATTAACTGTCGACCCTGACGTCGTCAGATCGCCGTACATTCAAGACCTTCGCAAGTGGGCCTCGACGCCCAGCACGCTTCGCGGCCAATCTTTCTGGCTCTCGAGCAAACTCATCCGACGCTGAAATCTCGCCTCTCAACCGCGCCGCCCATACTCTCGCAGAACTCGCCGAGCATCCTCCCCCATTCCACCATCCTCTCCTCCATGTATGCACTCTCCTTCTTGTTCCTCTTTGACAACATGCCCTTCTGGCACTCCCAGTCCCAGTACTCGCACATTTCCTTGCCGTCGCCAGAGGTGTACGGTCGTATTTCGTGTACGCGTTGCGTCTGCAACAAAAATCGAGGGTAGCTCTTTGGGGGGTTGTAAGAGCCGGTGCTGCTCCACACCAGTCTGTACACACCGGATATAGAGGCCGTATGGGTCTGCGTGCGCTGAAGGGCAGCTTGTCCTGGGTCGTCTTGCGGATCGTCTGGACGGGAGACTTCGGTCACGACGACGGCTTGTTCCTTCATCTCCTTGCTGTGGGGTAGTTTCATTCTCATGTGTAAGGTCATCCTGGTGCCCAATTGGATCCGCACAGAGGGTTCACCGTAGAGGGCATTGATATGTAGCTGTCTCCTGTGCTGGGAGCTGGCCGCGGATTTCCGTCGGGAAGCTTTGGCTGCAAGGGCGGTCGATTGGGTATTGGCAGGTGCTGGCATGAGAACAGAGGCGTTCCCAGGAGACTCGAGCAGAACGGAATTGGGGTTTGTGCCTTTATCTGTTGGAGCAGGTGGTGATTGGCCGGGGGTTAAGGAGGCTCTTCGTGCTTCAGTTGCGGCCTGATACTTTTGGGCCGCAGACAACGCCCCAGTGCCATTGGTGTTTGCCATTGAATTTGACCGTGACGGCCCATCCACGCCGTCCTGCGAGATTCCCGAGAGTCTGCTGGCGTTGCTTGCTAATCTCTGCCTTGTCACCGGTGGTGGACTAAGAGGCCGATCAATGCTGCCGGACTGTCTGCTCCCAGGGAGCGCCGGACTGGCGCCTCCGTTCCCCGCGCTCCAACCACCACCACCACTTCGCCTTCGATGCGCCGTAGAGTGCTCCACTGATGGTCCCGGCATGACTGCTCCATCCGTAATATCGGAATCAAAATTCACCGCAATCGAAGTGTTTCTCACCAATTCCTCGATTTCGGCCAACGTGGCGTCATCTTCGTCGTCTGGTTGAAATGTGATTGTTACACGGGGGATCCAGCGATTCCAGTCTTTCCAGGTCTCGGTGTTGCGGAGGGTGCGAAAGACTAGGCTTGCAGGGGCGTTGATGCGCGTGCAAGCTGAGACGTAAAATGTAGCGGTAGACTGAGGTATATCAGGCGTTGAGAAGTCGGTTTTCGTGGCCATTCTGGCGGGGAGTGGCCCGATGAGGCTTGGACCTGGCAGATATTATGGGGAAGACCGGATTGAGAACAAAGGGCCAATATTATATGGTGCCTGGTATATGATCCTTGCCTTAGGATTCAGCCTTCGTAGGTCGAATTGTCTTCGTACGAAGCATCAGTCGCACAGGCCAATGTTGGCAAATGGTGCTTGACCTCGGGGCGACGTGGAGTTCATATGTACCAATGTAGTAGCGGCTGTCACAGGCTGGGAACTGTTGTCAATTACGCTGTTGTCTCTGTTTCTTGATGGTCGGGTCGATGAGAAGCTCGCAAGGTGGTCGTCCAGCGGAAGCCTGCATGCGCCAGATGACAGAGCTTCGTCTAGTTCCTCGTGACAGAATTGAAAGGAGCGCAGAAGATTATTCGTGCTCAGAGGGTCTTTTATGTCGCGACTTGGTAGGTTGGCCAGTGACGGGGACGCTGGTTACCTGGAAGATCTCAAGGCGGGAAGCGAGACAGGTGCTGGATAAAAACGAATGATGAGACGACCAGTAGAGCTGAAGATTGTGCCTACCTAGGATGCATCATGCAAGCTCCAGGACTGGTTTCACCACCAGTGGAGGAGACGTGGGAAAAAAATAGAGAAAAGAAGGATGATGATGCATTGTGGGGGAAATTGTGGGGGACGACGAAAGGCGCACGAGATGCGCAGCTGGAGGGGGAAGGTGCTGGCGAGGTCACGTGGCTGCACTCACCAATTCTCCCAGTTGGCCTTGTTGGTCGTCCCTATGAGGAAGATCCCAAGCATTCTTCTGCATCAATTGAACAGTGACCAACTCCTGCTTCCATCTTCTGCTGAGCCCGAACCAGGCTTGACACCCGGCTGCAACTCCTCTCACCGATATCTCTCTCCACGAACCGAGCTAATGCCAGACATCTAGTCGAACCTCCCGGAGACAGAAATCCTGAGCAAAGGAGGAGCGCAAACAAATGGACCAACCAGCTGGGTGAGGATGCTGGCCTTTTGTACCTGAAGGGCTTTCCCCTTCAGACGCCAGCCCGAAACCTGACACTCCCGGACCCATCCTCCCTGCCATCCCTCCTCCATGAACTATTCCATTACCTGCTTTGTTTTCTCCAGACTCCAAACAAGTCGACGGGACGGCCCTAACCAGAGACGGCTGGACCCATCAAAGGCTGTCTCCCTCCACTGCGGATACTTCTTTGATAATTCGACTTCATCAAAAGCCTGTGACAATTTCCCACGCCATGCCAGTGGACTGGAAAAAGCCATGTCCTGGTCAAATTCCGAGTCCCTCTTAACACATTAAACCACGATGGCTGTGTCTTTGCAAAATTCCACTCGTGTCATTCGCGGATTGTGTCTGTGTTTTTTGACCTTGGCTGCATGATTGGATGTGGCTAGAATGTCTAGCCACATGATAAGAGCCTATCGGGCTACCCCTCGGCTCGAGGCACACTGCGCTCAACATGTGAGGGCTAGCTGGTCAAGTCCTGGTGGTCCCAAGCGCGGCTGTGATGTAGTGCCTGCGCCCGATGAGGCCGTCAAAGGAATCGTTGGAGAGTAATCGTTCCATCCCTTCTCTTTGCCTGGTGACAACTCCAAAGAAGAGATGCAATCAGAAGCACAGCATAGTGCCTTTCCTGCCCAAGCCTGCTTCATGACCAAATCCCTTGCGACGGCCAGGCTGTCTCATGTCTTCTGAATCAGAAGCCCCATCCGACACGTGGTCCAGTCTCATCGCGGATTTGAAAGAAACAGCACTGGGCGACCAACAGACACCGACTCCTTGTTCCAACGAAGCAGAGTTCAGGACCAATTTTGAGTCGCTCTGCAACGACCATTATGAACCAAATGCTCAGCGCCTGCTTAACCTGTTCTCTCGACAGCATGGCACGATTACAACCTTTACCAGCACAATAGATAGCGCACAAAATCTCCAGCCACCTGACACACTTAGCGATTTGTTCTGGCAACTTGCTTTTGCAACCATCCAGGTCGGCTCATGTCGGACGTCTCTTCAAGATTGACACCCATGGCTAATTGACTCAGGCCGCTCTTGACGCAGGATTGTCACTTAAAGACCTCTTCGAACAATTGAACCCCCTCAATCAAGCCCTCAAACCGTTCGGACCGCAACTACCGCAATTTCCAACCCGACCCCGTGTGCAAGAACCTCTTCAGGTCGTATTCAGAGAGTATATAGAGTGCTACAGCATCATGCTAAGTCACTTCGCGTCACATCCCCCTGGTGAGGCAGTTTCATGCATAATCTAGAAAGGCCCGAGACTGATGGCAATAGGTCTTACGTTCGACACCTTTCATTCCCGAGCCGAGACTGCAGCTGAGCTGTTTGAATCGTCACTGGAAGACTGGAAAGAGGTGGTGAAACGTTTTGGAGAAGAAGAAACTAGGTCTCTGCCTCCGTTGCCAAATCCGGGCTTGAGCCATCTGTCTCCTGGCTTGACTACAAGCGCACGCTTTCAGTGGCTTGAACCATTGGGCACGGGCACATATGGCCAAGTTTCAAAGGTCCGCGAGGTCTCTACAAACAGCATCTATGCTCAAAAAACCATCCGGGTCCAAAATAGCCATCGTGCGAGGAACATCATCGAACAGCAGGTCCGAAACGAAGTGGCCATCATGCACAAGCTCCGCCACCATCATATTGCCTCTGTCCTTTTCTACGTCAGGGACGAAACTACCTTCTCCATCATCATGCTCCCGGTGGGCGACTACGATCTTCGACATTTCTTGGAAGTGAATTGTGCCGGGTTCCCCCGGACAGAGACGAGGCACCTCGATCAGTGGTTCGGTTGCCTGGCCTCAGCACTGGCATATGCACATCAGGAGCGAGTCAAACACGAGGACATCAAACCCTCAAATATACTGATCCGGGATCATCAGCCTTACCTGGCAGATTTTGGTAGTGCGATAGATTTCTCCTTGATGGAAGGCAGCACCTCGACAGAGGAGTACATTGTGGGCACACCAGTGTACTGGCCGCCAGAGCCACTGCAGCAGCGAGGACGAGCGGCCGACGTCTTTGCTCTAGGCTGTGTCTTCAGCGAAATGCTCACGGTACGGCAGCACAGATCATTGCAAGAGTACCGTGATGCTCGCTTTCTCCCTCATGTCGACAATGGGTATGCCTTCCGGACAAACCTAGAGGTCGTGAATACCTGGCTTCTGGACCTCCCTGACAATGTTGGGCCTCCAGAAGTCAGGTCTCTTTTGCTGGAGCAGACAATGGTATGTTTTTTGAGAGTCCCTGTCAGACTCTTCAATCCAGTCGCGTCCACTTCTTTCGCAAAAACAAGACCATATTGCTGACTTATCTGTTGGGGCGTCTCTAGAACATGCTATCTGAAGATCACACGCAAAGACCAGAAGCACGCGTGGTGAAGCGAAATTTTCGACATGAGGGAGACGCATTGTTTTGCCTTAGTTGCGCATGATGGGAGAAGCATGATCCTGTGGCAACATCTTGAGCGGGTCTTCTAGCCAGTTTCTTCGGTAGCCGTCAGGCTTCCAACTTTGGTATGACTATACGTGGTATGAATCTTTCCTTGCTCTGCTCACAGCTCTTCTGAAGCACTCGTGGCAGATTGGGACGCAGCCTCCAGTCCTGCCCGAGACAATTCGTGTTCCTCGAAATTGTCAATTTCGTCCATCCAAGGAATTCCTTCCTGGGCACCGAGATGTGTGATTGTCAATGCTGCGGCTTTACAAGCACGAACAACTGCCTCTCTGATATCCCATTGTCCCATCTGCTTCTGTCGCAGATAATCTGTTGCGTACGCCCCTGTGAATGTGTCCCTGAGATTCTTGTCAGCATTCGTTCATAGTACTGGTCCCAACCACATCAAAACTTGCCCTGCCCCTGTACAATCTACCACGTCGACCTTGAAAGCCGGCACATGGCCAAACTCGTCGGCTCTGCCAAAGAAGGCTCCACGTGCTCCCAGGGTCAGGACCACGTTCGTCACCCCTTTCCCAAGGAAGTACTCGGTAATCTCTTGCCAGGTCTCTTCATTCACTTCTTCCACTTCACGGCCAGACATAGTCGCTGCCTCCGTCTCGTTTACCAGCAAATGGGTGATCAGCGGGTAGTAGTGGCTCAGGATGTAGTTGGCCGGTGCGGCGTTGAGCAAGAACTCGATACCTGCTGCGCCAGCCGTTTCGATCATCTGCTCAACCACGGTGCGATCAATTTCCATCTGTGCAATGACTAGATCCGGTGGCCGCCCGTTGGCAAGACTGTCGAGGTTGGCAAAATAGTCGACCGACAATGCATCATTTGCGTTGCTGGCAAAGATACATCGGTTCTCTCCATTGGCGGATTCCACCAGGACGAAACTGATTCCTGTCGGTCCATCCACCTTCTGAAGGCGCGACACATCGACTCCGTTCTCTTGCAGCGCGTCTTCAAACATTTGCGCATACTTGTCATCTCCCACCGCGCCGATCATACATACTTCAATCTCCTTGCCATTGGAATAGTCGATTCTCTCATCGGATGAGGTTAATTTGCCCTCGGAGGGTCGGGCATGGCTGCTTCGATAGACGGCGATCGCCGAGTTTGCCCCTTTCCCTCCCAGTGTCTCATGATATTGTCTTGCCTTGTAGCTTTCTCCACGATCCGGTATACGGTCGGTGATCATGATACGGTCAACATGGAGAGACCCGACAACGGAGATGAGCCGCGGAGCCATCGAGCCAGAACGGCCCATGGTCGGAGGGGTGGTGTGTCCGGACTTGACGCGTACTCTTCCACGTTGATAAAGGGCAAGGTGAGAGAAGAGACCCTGGTTGCCGCAACCGACCAATCGAGCTCAAGTGCTTCGGGTAGACAGAACAGCAACGGTGGAATTCCAGATGATAAGACGATCGAGCCCGCGCCGCATAGTGCTTTCTCCACTGTGATGAAGTTAGTGCGCCCGATGTCTAAGGGTGAAGTGATATTGAGTCATGTCTATAACCGGTGAGGCTGGAGTATTTTAGCCATCAGGATATCGGAATCCATGGCGAACCTTGCGAACCCTACCTGGCATGACAAGGCAGATTTATGCCTTGTTGGCTACTGTGCGGGAGAGGGAGTGGGAAGTGATAGGCTGCGGAAGTGGTGCCATCCTCCGCACCTCGAACGAAATGAAGCCAGAGTGCCAACTTGTAGGTGAGTGGCGGCTGTGCGTTGGCAAGAATGGTTGGCTCCTTGTAGGGATTTTATGCACGAGGTCTGGAACAAGTTTGAGACTTTGACGGGCTGCCCTCATGCCTCATGCCTCATGCCGTCCCCCATGACCTGAAGCCTGTCAAGACTCTCTCCCACCTGCGCCCCTCCGACCTTTGCCAATCGCACCACCCAGGCTCTCCAACTGCAAAGAGGAAAGCTATCCCAACCCTGGAGACGCCCTCAAGAGCACTAGAGCATGAGGGCCAGACCCGACCCTTGATCCTGGATTTCAGCCGCCTGCAAGATGTACGACACCCTTTCCGGCGGGGGCTATATATGCGGCGGAATTCCCTTGTGGAAGTACTCGTTGAAGTCTCCCAAGCAGTCTTGCCATGAGCGCTCCTCAAGTCCAAGGACCTTCGTCCTGACAGAAGAACAATCGACTCTACCTGCCATCGCCGTGTCCTTCTCCCACGCGGCCAAAACAAGATGGAAGACGGCTGACCGGTATTCCAGTATAACCGATCCGTGTCTAATGATTCTCAGCAATCACAGATACAGAACCACATCGAGCCGCTAGCCTTCTGCCTCACGAACCACTGATACTTACGCTTGCAAGTCAGCAGCTGGCACAATATCTTCTGAATTTGCTCGAAACAGGTCGTTGTGATTGCCGTTGGTCAACTTTTGCCATGTGCCGGTAGTTCAACATGAGTGGCCTGGATGCAGCTGCAGGCATTGCTGGCCTGTTGACCCTGTCCTTTGCCTGTGTTCAAGGTTGCATCAAAGGGTTTACCCTGCTACGTCGGGCGCGCAGCCATGACCGTGATGTGGCGGTCGTGAGCCTCATGATCGAGCTCGAACAGCACAAATTTCAGACCTGGGCCGAAGAAGCAGGTTTGTTTGAGGATCCGCCAGACCTACGGGTGCATGCCCGAGATGCTCGCTATGTGCCAAAGATCTTGGATCAATTGCGGAGACTACTGCTTGATGTGAATGAACTCAGGAAAAGATACAACCTGGAGATAAGGGAGGGTTCGGAAATCCTCGACCTCGACGAGGGAAATCCCATGGGCGTCAGGCTATCTTCACAACCCCGAAAGTCGCTGTCTGAGCTTTTTCAGCACAAAACAAACTGGAGAAAGTGGACCTGGATTGCTTTCGACGAGAAGAACGTTCGCACATTGATGGATGATGTGAAAGTCTTGGTTGACAAGCTCCAACAGTTCCTTGAACACGAAAGGCAGGTCAAGATGGAACAGGCATTTGATGTGTTCCTCAGGACCACCGTGGTCAAGACAGCCAACGAACAAGAGTTGGGTGTTATCGGTCACGACCACAACCGCTCTTTCTCCAAGGGAGCCATCCCTGCAGCCGCTCGCTTGAAACGACAAGGTCTCCTTCTGGGAGTTGCAGATACATGCACAGACAACCATACACTCATCCCGAAGCCGGAATCTGGGAGACCATCAACTTTGAAGGACTCGCACTCTTCCCTCTCCAGTCTGTCGGTCGCGTCTTTGTCTTCTTCCTCGTCAAAGTCGATGAGGCTGAAGTCGAAGGAGCTCATCGTTCCACCATCACGAATGGAGGGCCATCGTTACTTTGCCTGGTATGCGCGTGAGCCTGTCCTGCTCGAATGGAAAAGCGGTGGTGGCGGAATCAAGCTTCCACTTCTTGAGAATCGAGTGGACCGGGTTTCAGCATTCTTGCACGAACTAGATCAGTCCTTCCACAGTTTACCCTGCCGTGGCTACATCAAAGACTGGGCTGCAAAAGACCGATATGCCTACGTCTTCGATCTTCCCTTTGGTGTCTATCCTGCGACAATGCAGAAGAGCCCAGTCAAGAGACATATGGATCTCCCACCGTTGCCAAGTATGCATACATTGCGAGACATGCTAGAACGACCGATGGAAATCCCGTCACTCAATCTTCGGCTGTCCTACGCCATCACGCTCTTGGAGACGTTGCTACAGATCCATACCGCCGACTGGCTGCACAAGGAACTTCGGTCCAACAACATCCTATTTATACGTGGACCTCAATCGGACAACGCATCCGATGAGGATATCTTGCTTTCGCCCATCTATGTCGCCGGCTACGTCTATGCAAGAGTAGACAGTCCTAACGAACTCACAGAGCCTACCGAGTCCGACTTTGAGAACGATCTCTACCGACATCCACTGTCGATGGGGAGCTCCAGAGTTTCGTATCGCAAGAGCTTTGACATCTTCAGCGTCGGTTGCGTCCTCCTTGAACTCGGATTGTGGACTAGTCTGCCCGACATTTTGCGCAGTGGGTCGAGAAGCCTGCGGCCTGGTGTAGGCGTGTCGGATGCCACTTACAAGTATCCGGATTTCTTGTTTTCGTCGTCGTCATCCACGCTTACGCCGAGGTCATCGTCCAACTCGATCAATAGACAGAGCCGTGATAGTTTGAGGGAGAGGCCTAGTCGCGATCTGAAGCTGCGAAAGAGCGTGCACTCTGTCGACCAAGAAGTTGGCGACGACAGCCCTGCTTTTGACCTTCTGGAACTGCGACATCAGCTACTACTCTCCAACATGAGCGGAGCACACAGTCCCAGGCCGCCCACGATGAAACCTACCTCATACAACGAGATTCTCAGGGCGTTGAAGGCGGCCGCAGGCATTGGATATGCAAGGATAGTAGAGAGTTTTCTTGGTGTGGTTGAAAACATGACGGCGACTGAGAGCAATCCAGACATGGCGGGAGATATGGATGAGCACGAGTACGCGCTCAAGTTGGAGATGGAATCTCTCGAGTCTCTCCGGGCCATTGCAAAAGTCATCTGATAGAGGCATTGTGTTATGCACATGGGGGGCATGAAAGCCCCCAAGGGAGCCACCCCCCGGTTGATGTGGCTTCGTCTATTGTAGCTAGTTGTGTTTCAGCCTGATGGCTAGCCTCAACCTCAACCTCAGCAGCTGGCCGCGACCAACTCTGCTGCCTTTGGCCTTGTCTTCGTTTCTATTTTCAGTCGCGCCTCCCAGCGTGTGAAGTGTTTGCTACAGGATGTCTCGGCGGGAGTTTGTATTTTGTTTGATTGATTTCAAAATGTACATGATGTCTTGACTTGACTTGTCTTTTGTACATTGTGTGAATCTCTCCCCATTGAAAATCATGGCACCTGAATCTTTGTCCAGTACTGCTTCTGAAGCGTCCATGATGGCAGACGACGTGTTCAGTGATGAATCCGACTTCCACGGTGAGTTGCGGGCTACGAAGACATCTTGTCTTTTCGGTCTTCCTTTTTTCCCTGATCTGATATCATCTCTGCTACGCAGGGAGCGTGGAGACCAAGTCCACATACCAAAAGCTGGCCGCATCATACGATCCCCAAAAATATTGGGCCGTCCACGAGTGGTCCACCCAAGTGAATGCCGCCAAAGGCAGGGTGGCGTGGCTCGAAGCCGCTAGACTGCGCGCAGAACTTGCTCTGAGGAAGCAACAGCAAGCGGAGCGCAAAATAGACGATGGAAAGGCCGGGCCACAGCAGGCGGAAGGGGAAATTCGCGTGGGTTTCGATGGAGATGGAAAGAAGGGAGATGGAGACGGAGAAATGGACATCGACACCAAGGTCAAAGCCCCAGCGAGCCCCGATCCTGACACAGAGGACGAGGATGGCAAAGACGATCGCCGCGCGCCGCCGCGGAATTTCTACGAGGGCATCCCTTCTGCTAAACAGCTCTCAGAGTCTGTTTCCGACTTCCTCGCCCGTTTGCCCCCGTCGACCACGACGTCTAGCTTAGCTGGACGCCAGCCGTGGATCTGGATTGCGAACCCGTACCCTGACCCAGTACCTAGCAGACGGTCAGCAGGAGAGTCACGAAGCACGAGCACCAGCACCAGCACCAGCACCGACCCAGAATTCAGCAGTGGTGATGTCGCTACGTTCCGCCAACTCGGGACGCGTCTCCTGGAAAGATATCTCTCCCGCAAACATGAGACGGAACTTCAGAACCCCGGCAAAGTACCCGGGTCGATCACGCGCATGCTGCGTCCCGATCGCCTTCAGTTGGAATCCGACATTAGGGAGCTAGCCAAGGCACACCGGGTCACGGCGGGCAAGTGGATGCTGTTTCCCAGAGACGATGAAGTTGACACGGTATGGGCGGTCGTTGCGCGCGGTGTGTGGGACGGGAAGTTGGGTACCGGAGCCAAGGTCGCGACGGCCAAAGGCGAGGGAGAGATGGTGGTCGATGACGACAATATCGATGACGGTGGTGGTGATGGGAAAGACAACGGCCTACGCCTGATATGCATCTACACGCGCGACTTTTCCGACCAAGCAGACGTCAAGCGCGTCCTGCAGGCCATGAAAGACCTGGGCCTGCTCAGCAGCAACATCGACCTTGACGGACGCAACGCCGGTCTCAGGACCATCTACTACAAGTGCGACGCCTACACCCACCTCGGCCTGAGCAGCGGCAACGAGTACAAGTTGCGCGCCAGCATGTACTCGTCCCGAGACCTGTTTCCCGCCTGGTACAATGGTGGTGCTGGTGCAGGGCGTGGACACTGATGATGGAAAAGAGAGGAGCCCGAGAGGAGAATCAGTCAAGTGTATATGTGTGTGTGCATATCGATGCATGTGTCCATCATGGGTGCGCAGATTGGCTGTACAGGGGAATTCCAATCCAATCCAATCCAATCCAATCCAAATTAACAGAACAAGGGAAACAAAACGAACGGGCTACGAGTTCCTGCAATCGGAATCGGAGGTCTGGCGTCACTCTAAGCGAGCGAGCGAGCGAGCGATTGATTCATGCCATGCATACAATGTACCAAGGGGATAGGTGACTTGACTATTAAGTGCTTATCGAAGTAATAGCAAAAAGACAAGAGGAAAGCGGTCCAAGGGAAAGGGAAAGGATTGAAGTCTCTTCATCTTCATCTTCCTGCGTTGTCTGTGTGTGCTCGATTGGAACTCTACAATCACGCCCGTCGTCCGTCTCGCTTCCTCTCATCCTTGTCCTCCCTTTCCCTCCCTCTGCCTCATCATCATCATCATCATCTCATCGGCGTTGTCGTCGTCATTGTATCACATCATACCGTCTCTGCTCTATGTCCCTCCGTTTCCCGCCTACCGCTGATGCAAATGATAACATAAAGTCCCAGAAACAAAAGAGAGGCAAGACCTCGAGACGATCTTGGAATGTGTGTGCGTGTAGCCCCGGTCCCTTAGCCAAGATGCTTCTCCTCCCCTGTGCAATCTACATGGCCTTGGTCGGATTCGCCATGTCGTGTACATCCAACATGCACGTCTGCGCATCTCCTCACATCTGTACAAGTGGCCGGTTGAAGAACAACGACCAAGAGTCAGAAATGTCTTTGGTTCTTCATTTCTTCCCCTTTTTGGCCGCCTTGGTTCCGCCAGCAGTGCCCAGCGCCGCCTCTCTCAACTTGGCCTCACGCTCGTTCTTCTCCTTGTCACGGGCATCTTTCTCTTCCTTCTCGGCCTGTTTGCGTGCGGCAGCGGCCTCGCGTTGTTCGCGGATCAACTTCAGCCGCGCCAGGTCGGCTCTTGCTTCGTCCGTCTTGCCCTCTGCGTGGAGCTTCTGGTATCGCTCTCTAGCTTGCTGAGCAGCAATGGCTTCTCGTTCTCGCCTGCTGAGGTTTTCCTTTTCTGTTTTTTTCGGTGCCTCACCACTGGCACCCGTGACCGCCCGCGCTTGCGACCTTGCCTTTTGTGTGTGGTTGGGATTGGCGGGCATATCATCGTCATCGTCTTCCTCCTCCTCGTCCTCCTCCTCCGAAGTACTAGGCAAGTCTCCCACTGCCGCGGTCTTCTGGTTCTTCTTCGCGATAGCCTCTTGCTTCTTCTTGCGAGCTAGCTCCTTGCGTTGTTCTCGAGTCAGCTCATTTGACGGGGCCTGCGCTGAGGAGGCTCCCTCGCCAGAGTCATCTGAAGATTCTCCTTCTGACTCCTCCTCTTCTGAAGACTCGTCTTCTTCTCCTTCTGCCGGGTCTCGCCACATGCCCATCTGATTCCCCTCCTTGTCCAAAGGTTGTAGGTCACGGGAGAAGTGTTTGCCTCCTATCATTCAGATTTAGCCAACTGTGTGGTGGAGTAGACTGGGTGAAACCAGGCTGGGACCGGGCTGTACATACCTCCTCGGGTGGGCTTTGAGAATTTTCCTCCTCGTCCTCGTGGAGGCATGGTGGAGAGTGTTGAGATCAAGGGTCCTCGGGCAGATAGATGGTCGAGAAGAGAGGTGGGGTATAGGGGAGTGGTGTGCAAGGGGGGTAAATCGAAGTGCTGGTCAACAGAGCGCTTGGATCGGCAGGTGAGTCTGTTTCAAGCACTCTCTCTGGAAGTACAGTCAGTAAAACGCCCATTCAGCCTGAACACGGAGCAGAAACTGGAGGCATGTGACTGGGACAAAGAGCGGTGGCATCAGAGGCTGCAACCAAAAGATTTCTTTGTGCCCAAAACGCGGGGGAAATGGGGAAAAGAAGAGGGCACACAGAGCAGATAGGGAAACCAACTTGGACTTCTTCTCAGTAAAAGAAAGGAGACTGTAGCACAAAACTAACCTGCGGCAGTGTAGTGAGTAAGAGGGCAAAAGTGACCTGTCGAAAGTACTGAAGAGGGGGAAAACAAGAGTAACAAGTACAAAAATGATTCAGAGATGCCAGACGCCGCCCGCTGAGTTGTCACTGGAGCCACAAGTCTCGTCCCACCAATCAGCTTAAACACGAACCGCTCTGTTACCCTTTGTGCCTCTGGCAAATCTGAGAATAAGACGTAAATGACTGGGTAGAGAATAATAACACATCCAAGTCAACCGGATATGCCCATCTTGTGTGGCCAAGTATGGGACCAGACTGTCGACTACAGACCAAGTAAATCGTCGACATAGGCCATCTACTCTTTTTGTGTCCTATCCAGTTCACCAACTTAGCTACCAACTGGCCACTCATTCCTGGCCCAGTTCATCGAGGCCAAGATTGTGTCCTGAAATCCTACGTGAATGTCATCGTCATATCAGTTCCAAGAGCTAGGTCTATCGAATGCCCGAATCGTAAAGCTCCACCACGGTGATCTGTTCTGTGTTGTTCCCTGTCCTCAATGATTTGAATCTTGAATGTCTGGTAAAGCTCTTTTTTTTCTTCTCCAATGAATTATGTCGTCTTGGTCTTTGTTTTTTGGGTGGACAGAGAATGACAGCCGCAAATCAATGTTCCTGCAGGCGAGGAAAGGCGCAGCTGCCATTGTCACTTCGCCATGGATGGCATTAAGTGAAGAGGAGTGCTCAATCATAATCCCTTCGCCCGGGAGCCTAGAGGTTTTCGGCCTTGTTCAATGCCGCGATGGTCGCGATGACATCGCTTGGCTCAAGCAAGTGCCATGTCGCCAGGGTGCGTTTGCTGCTGGCGCCCACTGTACACGCAAAGACGTGTTCCTTGGGAAGGTCTGTCTTGAGCAAGGCGCGGAACATGTCTGGACAAAGTCGCAGTCAGTAAAATGGTGTCCTGCATCCAAGGAGGGCGCCGCGGATATGCGCAAAGAGACTCACCTTCATCCGTCTGGTCATCTCCTAGACACAACACAAACTCTGGTGGTTCCCCCCTCGCGTATCCGTACTCGTTAATCAACCTTGTTGCGATGAAGCCCTTGTTCACAAACTGCGGCCTCACCTCCAAGTTGGCCTTCCCGCTCATTACCTCAACATCCCAGTTTTTCATGACATTCTCCTCTAGGGCCTTGCGACACTCCCTTGCCTGGAACGCGCCAAAATCAGGGTCAGCCTGCCGATAGTGCCACGTGAGTGCAACTCGTTTCTTCTCAATCCACGATCCTTGAGTGCGTTCTGTATAATAAGAAAATACCTCCATCACTTCTTTCTGCCACCCCATGTCCATGGCTGCAGCAAGGTTTTCCCATGTTTCCGACCCGGGCCGTCGTAGGAAACAGCCATGCTCAGCGCTCAAGCCCAGTTCAGTAATATGACCCATCCATTCTTCGAGAAAGGAGGCATCACGGCCACTGATGATCCAGACATTATTGCGTGGGTCGGCGGCGAGGGCCTTGAGGGTACGGATGACTCGGTCAGATGGAATTGCCGCATTGGGGTCCTTCACAATCGGTGTGAGTGTGCCATCATAGTCGAACATGAAGAGCCGTTTCTTTGCTGCATGGTATTGTTGGATCATTCGATTGCGATCCAGTGCCGGCGTCAGATCGCTCTGTGTGAATGAGGTAAGGTTGGTGAGCAACCGTTTGAGAAAGCTGTTTGACCAGGTCGCCACATTGTGAGTTGTCACGTAGTTGTAGAGTTTCTCATGGTTGCTCTTCTTTAGGGCTTCCGGCATCTCCAGTGCCTGCTTCAGTGCGTCTGCAACGCCACCCAAATCCCACGGATTGATGTGGATGGCATTGCTCAAGCTGGCCGCAGTTCCGGAAAATTCTGACAGAATCAATGGACCGTGATTGTTCTTCTGGCAAATGACGTATTCCAGACTGGTCGTGTTCATACCGTCTCTGACACTCGTGATAAGTCCCACATCTGCGATGCGGAGAAGAGCAAAATATTCCTGTGACGAGAGATATTGTGGATAGTGCTGCACTGGAGAATGGCTCAACGACCCGTACTGGCCATTGATCCTGGAGACCAGATTTGAGATCTTGTGTTCGATCTTGTGAGCCCCGTCCACCTTTTCTTCCATCACGCTCGTGGGACTGGTCACCTGAATAAGAACCACCTTGTCACGCCACTCTGGGTATCGTTCCAAGAAGATCTCAAATGCCATCAATTTTTGCGATACCCCACGGACGGTATCAAGTCTATCACGACCAACAACAATCTTCTTGCCGGCGTACATTTTCTTCAAGGCTTTCATGTTTTGTTCTATTACAGGGTCGCCGAAAGCTGTCTTCTGTACCGCTGCCACATCGATGCCGATGGGGAACACGTCCACAGCGACGTGAGCTCCGTATGCGTCCACACCTGCCGAGCTCGATTCGAAACCTAGGATGCGTTTGCAGCAGGAGTTGAAATGTCGGGAGAAGCTGTATGATTGAAAGCCAATCATTGTCGCACCTAACGCTCCAGTCAGGATATCTTTTCTTCGGGGTAGACATCGCATGTATTCGCTACTAGGGAATGGGATGTGAAGGAAAAAACCGATGTAGATGTTGGGGATGCGTTGACGCAGCATGCTTGGTAGTAGCATCAAGTGGTAGTCATGAATCCAGACAATATCGCCCGGTTGATAGATGTGTAGGATTCGATCGGCGAAGCACTGGTTCATCTGCACGTAATCTGCCCACGAAGTCTTCTCAGCTCGGCCATCGTCGGGACCGTGGTGTCGATAGTGAAAAAGGGTGTATAGTTCGTGCTCTGCGTATTTGCGCCACCGGCTTTGGTCTTTGAAAATGTAGTCGCCGTCCTCGTCTCCCTGTCCCTCTGGTAGCCACACAGGGAGAACCTTGCCGTTGGGATGCTGCGCCAGGATTTTCTCTAGACGGTTCCGGTCTGAACGAGGCAATCTCAAATGGTCAGGATGAGGCACATGAGTATTCGAGGTAGTGCCGTTCACGGGGTAGGGTGCAGCAGATTTGTTAATGGGATGGGGAGCTTGTGCCGTCGCAATTGCCGCCGCCGCATCAGACTGTAAGATGCTGATTGCCCTCGCCTGTTGCTGCGTACGGATCTCGCCCGTCCAGCCCACCAAGGTGTGATTCCAAGGCGTCTTATCCGACGAGAGATGCGCGAATGAATCAAACAGTGCAGAGGTGCCGCGTCTGTTGGAAAGCGCCCATTCACCATTTCCTTTGTGCGTAAGTTGATATGGGATACAAAAAGTAGCACTGATGACATTGCCACTCAGTCGCAAACCAGGATACGCTGTTCGCGGGTCGACCTCCAAAGCCTCAGCACCTCTAGAGTCAACAAGACTGAGCCGACGTAGTAACTCCTTTCCGGACCGTGCCCCCCTTGCAACCTCTGCGGGTGATTCTGAAGCGGCCGACTCATTGGTAGACTGTTTTTGAGGCAGAGAGAAATACGAGGTTGTGGGCCGCTCCTGTTCTGATATCTTCTCCAGTTCACTTGTCAACCCCGATCGAGGGCCTGGAGGATCATTGTCTGAACGAAGGACTTGACTGGGGGAAGCTGTATGTGTGACCATGGTAGCACTGCTGAAATGAATCAGAGGCAGAGATGATGGACTAGGACATATAAGAAGAAAGTGCTAGAAATGCTAGAATCAGCCTCTTCATCCGAATGAGGAAAATTAACGCTGATCAGGGAATTCGGTGAGCGAGTGATGTGTAGGTAACGCAGCCCAAGTGATGATAGCGGGGTAGGTGAATAAAAGGTAAAAAATAACAACGCAGGAGGCCGAGACGTGAAGATCACACAGGGTTGACAAGGAATTGTGGTAGATATTAGGAGAGGCGGGAAGTACCTTTGTAGAAGCTATCACAGAGTCTGACAAGGTCGGGCACGAGGCTCAGGCGATGATGTCGGCGTACAGAAGGAGCAAGGTGGAGGGCGAGGTTGGATTTACTTGTACCGATTACAGGCGTGGTCTCTCCCTGGGTTTGTGGGTTCACTCGGAAGGCAATCCCGGATCGAACAGGTTCGTCATACGAGTATGTACCTTGCTAAGCGTCTTGGGTGTCATATAGCTGAAGATGGATGATGGGGACGAGAAGTGTTGGCCCACGGTGGAAGTGGCTTCATCAAGAGAGATATGGGAAGAGTCCCAAGTATTGTAACTGCCATTGCACATGCTTTTCCCTCCTCTTTTCTGACGCCTCACAGGACTCTAACCAGGAATGTCGGATGGGGTGAGGTATGGCACTCGGTGCTGTCTGTTCGAGCTCTTGCAGGCTTTACATGGAAGAGGATTGGCTGTGCTAGGCAATGTGCTGGATCTGCTGGTTCAGATCGAAGGTGGAAGAAATCCCTACCCTAGACTGGGAAGTTCAGTGAGGATACGCTGCTAGATCATTCGTTGGTGACCGCTGTTGGGAAAAAGTTACGGGGGTGGTGGTAAGAGAGGGGCAACAAGGTGCGGCCTGACTTAACCAGGTAAAAGCTCGGATTGATGGGAATGATGGGAATGAGTGGAAATGCAGAACCACCTGGGCCTGGGCTATGGGCATCATTATTTTAGGCGTGGATCCCTCTAAACAACTGCCTATAAGTACTCGGCGAGTCGGTACTACACAATAGGTCGGGCAAGCCCCGCGCCTGAACTGGCAGCCCAAGCAGCCTTGTTGGCCCCTAGGTTTTCCGCTTGTGGGGCGAGCAAGCTTGAATCGGGCAGCCGCCAAGCCACTCGCTAAAATACCCGCTACTCGTGGTTTGACGCCTCGACGAGTAGCCTGTGATGCTTTTTCTTCAGAACATCCAAAAATTCAAGCGCATGTGCAGTGCAAGTGATATCGCATCGAGATCGAGTCACCGCATCACAGCCTGACCACTCTGCCATCTCTGAAAGAATACAGGTCGAATCTGGCGCTCGCCGAGTAATCCCCTTCGATTTCCTCCTGCTGTCGGCCGGATCTGCAGAGCATTCTCTTCTCCTCACACCTATGCTGCATGCCACCAGTCCACGAGTACCTCTCTCGAAATGCCGCTTGTGGCCGTCGTCATGCTTCCCTCTACCTCAGTCCCCCACCAAGTCTCCGGCAACGTCGACCTAGATCCCTCGTCGGTACCTTAGTACCGCTTGCCACTGTTCATATCTCTTCTCGAGATCCTCAAACTGCTTTCACCACGGAACCAAACATTGATATTAAGAGTCTGCACAATACCCTACGTGCTCATCGTGAAGCAAATCGCGCTTCACTCGTTCGAAAGACTTACAATGATGGCTCATCCGTCCGGCTACGTGATTCCGATGAACAATTCCCATCTTTCGAGGTCAAGACCCCAGTGGTGCGAAAAGAGACTGGGCGGTTCAAAAGGGTGGAACTCGCTCCATTCAAGGGATTCAAAGGCACGAGTCGCGATCTAGATCTGTTATGGCGGATAAATGAAGCCGAGAAAGATCCTCCAGGTCACTATCGTCTTCCATGGCTTCGTTATCTACATAACTCGGACCCAAATTCCTACTCGTCCGCGGTTGAGCAGCTTGGTGATGAGATCCGGGCTTTCGAAAAGTACACATCTCCTTCAACAGAAGAGCAGCGCGCTGCGGACGACGCTTTCAATGATCTTGTTGACTGCGTCAGGGACGTTGCGGGAGACCTCCACGTCGATATGATTGGGTCTAGGGCGACCCAACTTGCAGATCCCCTATCGGACTTGGATATTAACGTCTCCAGCTCCGGACGACCTGGCTCAGTCAACGAGCAGGCGCAAGGATCATCTCTCACCATACTAAACAAGCTCTACAAGATGTTTCGTTCTCCTCCAAAAACAACCAATCTCTTCCACTTTCGCCCAATCGAGGTCCAGCTTTATCTCAAGCAAGCCCGCGTGCCCATTCTACTCTGTCAGCACAAGGCATCAGGCCTCCCTATCCAGATCCAGTCTACGCCCAGAACGTATGACAGCCGCGAATACGTGAAAGCGTGCTTGAAGGAATATCCGTCCCTGCGAGGTCTTTTCAAGGTCCTGAAACAACTCTTACAGATGCGTGGACTCACAGTCGGCAGCAATGGAGGTGTCACGTCCTATCCACTCTTGCAGATGATAGTCGCAGCATTGAAATTCTCCGAGGGCAAGTTTCATCACGCGGATGTAGGCAACCAGTTTCTTTTCTTCCTAGATTTCTACTCAGACATCGACTTTTCTACACACGGTATTTCCACCGAACCCCTCGAGTTGTTTTCAAAAATTGTTGTGCGTGCCGGCAAGCACAAAGGGTATCAGCAAGCAGTCGTGCGGTCCCAGACAGCAGATAGGGAGCACTCCAACGCACGTCCCAGGGCTTTTCAAGGACCAGGCCGAAAGTGGTCCCGCGAGGGGATGGAGTATCTCATGACTCTTCAAGATCCTGTTAACCCTAAAAATGATCTTGGGAAATCTGGTTTTCGGATCAACGATGTGCAGGAGACCTTCATTGCCATTCGGGCGACGCTACACTCGACAATGTCCGACTGGGACAAGAATCTGCAGACTTGGCAGAAGCCAAAACAGCGAACTCGGGCACCGTCCTTACTTGAACCCTGTGTGGGCGGAGATTATCGAATATATGAGCACGAGAGAGACGACTTGCGGCGCTTGGGACACCATTCACTAGAGGCGGCAGCGGCAGTGGAGACTTGATAAGCCGCCCAGTCGCCATTGTTATCAATGAATCGATTTCGTCTGCGCAGATAATGTCAATGTTGATGGATACCTATCCTAGTGCTTTTTTCCTTCTTGGACTATTCATGTGGATTCAGCATCTACCATTGCCAAAATTCAGGCACTAGATATCATAAGCCAGTGCAGACGCACTACACTATGCCCAACCCAGCTGCCTCTTTTGAGACCTGCGCATACCAGAACGGAACCGGCCAGCGTCAGCGGAAACAAGCTCCCTCAACCTGCTCAACACCCTCCGCGCCCTTCAGCCAGCTAACCCGATCCTTAACATACTGCTCCACTCGAGGCTTTAACTTTGTCTCGTGCAAATGAAAGTCGTCAACTGTGCCGATACGCATGACAAGCTTGTCTGGAAAGCCGGAGCTGATGCGATACATGAGCGTGCCACAGGTGGAACAGAAATGATTGGCCATGGTGTGCCCCGTGGCGATAGTCTTGGATTGGGCGAAGGAGGTCAGATTGTCGTTGCCACGGAGGTGCGTGACATGATCGCCGGCGACGATGAAGTTCGACGCGAACATTGAGGCGGTGATCTTGCGGCAGTCGGTGCAATTGCAGACGAAAGAATCAACAAACCCGGGCTTCTCGGTGGGAAATTTCAGCTGTACGGCGCCACAGAAACAGGTGGCTGTGGCTTCTGTCTCTCTGGACCAGCCATCATCGGCGCTCCCAGCAAGAGGAATGTAGGGTTTCGACATGTCTGTGACGTCTTGGCTGGACATGGTTGCTTGCTTGTGTATGGCTGTTAGGCGTGATGCAGGATTCGCCGTCTGCATGGAGTTTCTCACTGGGTTCTGATGCGGTGGTGGCTTGTACAGAGAGGCACTGATGTTGAGATTGATGTTATCGTTCTGGTGACGAAGTTGCGCCTTTATATACACCTGCCAGACACAAGGCTGAACGGAACCCGGGGCTTTACAATGCTCCAAAAGCTCCCAAGAACGATATCCAATTTGTCATACACGGGCGAGCGATCAAGTACGTGGCCCAATGGCTCCCATACATCGTTTTCCTTTCTCGAGAGATATTTTCCCGATGAGGGAGAGTATATCTAGTATGGGCAGGATCATTGCGGTTGAGACACGGGATGAATATCTTGCCACCCTCGAGCTATACCCGATTTGTCTCGATATTTCTACATCAGGAAACAGCCACAATGAATGTTGCCGGTGCGCGAGGCTCAAGGGACGATGCGCTGCGGTTCGCACAAAACACCGTACACTCTTCAGGACCCTTTGCAATAGAATGAAAATGCCTCAAAAGGTCTGGCTACTGGTCATTGATTTCACCGACCTTAGCCTGGATCCAGATCTATAATTCATGTACGCGTACTTGGGATGACTGCGTAGACCTAACCTTAACCTCTGCGGCATGCTAGACTATGTAATAGCACTGAGTTGAAAGGTCGGAAAATCGACCTTAAACTCAACGGTCGAGATGGACGCCTACATACCTTGGTAGGCAAGAGAATTGGGACTAGATTTATACAGCTGTAGAGCAAAGTCGATGACGGCTTCTTCGAATTCTTGTTGGCTACAAGCAGCAGAATGACGTGCGAGGCTGGCACTTTGGTTAAAGCAGCGTGGGCCATGCGGATGAGGTGGCCGTGGGTGGCATATTATTATTTCGCAGCCCAACCTTCTCGTTGACATCTTCATGTTGACATCTTCATCTTCTCGCACTCCTTTTCCCTTTGCAGACTGTTGACAAAAGCCAAAGACCTTTCCTACCTTTGGCCCGATGAGCAGTCCCCGAATCACTACTCCGCGTCAATATGGCGGCTCTCACTTTGGCGCCACTGCAGGGGGGTCCGATATTCGCATGCCTCGTTTCTTCAAGCGGTAAGCAGTAGGACGACTCTTGGCCCTAGCTATTGTTGTTGACGAGATGATGTGGCAGACTCTTCAAGTTTCCGCAGATGGACTTCGAGATGGCTGTGTGGGAGATGACACATCTGCTCATTGCGCCGAAGAAGGTCTTCAAGTCCATCTATTACCACAAGCGTGAGTTGACCCAAATGCCTACATTGCTTATCCTCGAAGCTAAGAGAGATGGGCAGAGACGAGAAACACCTGGCACCGCCCTGATCCGTCCTTCACCTACCTGTTATCCTTTTTCCTCCTGCTCACATCCTTCGCCTGGTCGCTCGCCTATACGCCGTCCTTCGCTTCCGTCGTCAAGCTGGCCTTGATGTTTGTCGTGATTCACTTCCTGGCAGGATCTCTCCTTGTATCAACACTGGCATATTATCTAGTTGGCCGACTTCTAGGTCCTGGAATCGCCGGACTTCCCGGTCGCAGGCGCCAACAAGGGCTGTTCGGCCCTCCAGGAGGGTCAAGAAGAGCTGAGGTGCTGGAGTTCGGATACTGCTTTGATGTCTCGATACGGGCGTTCTTCCCGCCATACGTGCTGCTTTATATCGTCCAATACATCCTCATGCCTATCATCAACCATCAAAACCATGCATCAACCTTTTTCGCCAATTTGCTTTACCTTGCCGCGGGAATCTACTGGAGTTTAATCACCTTTCTGGGATACAATGCACTGCATTTCCTGCATCACACACAGCTTTTACTCTCGCCCATGTTGGCATGGATCGTGATTTGGCTGGTGTGCACGATTCTGAACGTCAATCTCACGACTTTGGGGACGAAATGGCTATTTTTGGGCGTCAAGGGCTGAAAAAGGGCGGCACATCAATTTAGAACAGTGACTGCTGGTGCTCGGAAGGATACCGAGCGCACAATCTGGCTGCATGTCGGAACTCTGGAAGTGTCCATTTGAATTTGTTCTCTTGAGGCGGTGAATATCTAAGCGATAACCTCATATCAATTGACAACATGCGCTCAATCACGGCGACCCCGAGCTCTACCTGTCAATGCTGTGCCAATCCAGGTGTCGAATCAAGCAATGAGGGTTTTTGAGAATCGAAGAATGGGAAGCCTGGCGTGAATCGCGAAATATTATTACAGTTTTCTATCCAATCGCGACACGAGCATGTTACTCCCATCACGAACTCCCGCTTCGCCGCCCAGTCGTCAAACGCGACATCAAACAGGATAATCGCCGAGATGTGGCTCAGCACCCAGCGACAGGGCACCCTATTCGATCAACTCTACAGGCGTGGCGTTCGGTAGCGGGGGAGAGCTAATGCAGGTCCGTCGATAACTTTTGATCTTGGCCACCCTGCGGCCCACTGCGACCCCAAGGAGGTGGATGATCTTGGATATTGGACTGGACTGGTAGGGGTACTATGCGCAAGAGTTGAAATTGTATGAGATGGGACAACATACAACTCGGTGCGTGGCGACAACACCGTGATGAACTGATGATTGCATAGGTTATTGAAATTGCATCTCTACTGGCGGTAAGATCGAACCAACTGTCAAATTGACAACCTTGGGGGTTCAAGCCGATAACAGACAAGTGACCTGTCTTCCGCTGTCATCCAACGCATACTTGGTACTCCGGATGACTCCTGTGGGACCATGTCTACCTACTTATGCACAGCTACTCCGTAGGTATTGGTGGGTATCATTCTTCAAAGCAATCAAATTGCTTTCGGAGCTGACTTGTACTTGGTAGCTTTAATAATGACAGAGCGCCGTTGGATATCGGGAGGACAAAAGCTTATGTATTATCGTCTCCTAATTCTACTCCGTATCAGATACCGTGTAAGGAAGATTCTAGGATTTCTAGGGTACGTAGTGGTAGCCCAGAAAACCTACTCGGTACCTAGCACTTGCAAGTAGTCAGACACGCCAGAGTCTACCTAGGTACCTGCCAAGTGCCTGCTAGGTCGATAACTAGTGGTACAAGGGGCCCTGCAAGGGGTTGCTTGGGTACCCCTGGCTGGTGGCCTTTACAGATGGTGCCCCCTATCCTTGCATTGGCTGGTGTTAGCTACTGGATCCAAGCCTGAAGGACCCACCAGTGACCACCTCCAATGCCTATCGCATTGCTGTCCCTTGGCTGTCTTTGAACAACCCCCCGTAAAATACACAAAGCTGCACCTCCGCGCTGAGATCTCTTGCCCGCATCCTCAGACACTTTAAGGCTTCGTACCCAGCCCATCCAGTGCCATCTTCTGAAAACCTATCCTTCATCATTTCCACATCGATCTATATATCAACGGTGGGACATGCGCTGGGACATCGTCCAACACGTCCCAGGTCGTGCGACATTTCACGAAGGATCGAGGAGTTAGCTGTCTCATCTCAGACAGCCACGCGCGCACCGTTTCTCTCGGGTCGCAGGCTGACTTACGACACCCAAATCAGTTTTCCCGCAGACAATGACCCCTCCGCCGAGTTTAGCCTCGCCGAAAAAACCAAAGAGTCCTCGCCGTCAATCTTCTAAACAGTTCAAGGTCATTGAGCATCCGAAGCCACATAGCAGCGCCTTGCCTGTGTCTCCGACCAGACAATCTCGACCGCTTCGACAATCGAATGGGGGTCTACCGAGCAGACAAATGGCGGGAACAGGAACGTTCCTGGCTGAATCACCACCAATGGATCACATCCACGACAATGATGATATCGAAGACCCTCATGATCTGTCCTTCTCCAGCAACCATATTCTCCGAGCATCCATGGTCGATAACCTCGTCATGTCGCTCGATCAATTCTCTGGCGGTGTGTTCGATGACGGCCCATACACTCCCCGAAGTAACAGTTATGATACAAGTGTGAGGATTCGCAAAAGAGGACATACATTCTCATCTTCGACATCTTCGGAGAATGATGTACAACACATAAGGCCCATGCAGCAGATGCCACAGACAATTCCCAGACTCCCTGTCCGCAACAGTGTCAGATACCAAAAGGACCTGCAGAAACTGCCTAGTATATTTGGAGAAGACGAGGATTCGGTCCGCGCAAAGGTCTATGATGCACAAAGAGCAGCACAACCTCGTCACCCGAGGCGGAAAAAGAATGCTTCTGGTGGCGGCAGGAGTACCAACAGCAGTGCATCTTCGAGTATTGACCTGGGACATCTAGCCAGTCTGAGTGGTAGGCTAGGAGGGCCAGGAAACAGACGGTCTCGGAGCTTTGATTTTGGTGCTAGACCGCGAGATCTACGCACAACTAAACCTCCCGGAGGTGCTGATGGTGCACCCACTCCGGTGATATTTCCGGGGCCGGAAGCTCAGAACGGAACCCCAGGAGTGCCATCTGGTCCAACCCTTGTCCGAAAAAACAGTGCCAAATCCTCCAAAAGCGCGTATGTCAAGAAAGGTCGAGCAGCAGCATTGGGCTCCAATTCTGGCCGCAATGATTCTGTTCCCCAGCTGCCTTCGATGAAGAGTGTACCGAGTTTCAACACCGTCGAACACAGGGCGAATATAGGGTCATTGCATGAGACAATCGCTGCCCCCAGACCAGGCTTCTTTCGCCGTGTTTTCGGCTCGTCCAGAAACTCATCTGTGAATACGGAGACTGCCCCAGCGGTCAATGTACTCACCAAGTCACAACCCGGTCGAGCGACTCCGGTACAAGATGAGAATGCACAAAACCCAACAACGCCGCCTGGAAAAATGCAAAAGGCTGTTCGGCGGACGTCCACCGATGCTTCGGCAAACAAAGAGAACCAGCCAGTGATCACGAAAAAGTCTTCTGCATTTTTCCGTCGAAGAAAGAAATCGGTTTCAAATGCAGTGCCCCCTCCACTGCCACTGACATTGAACTCGGACTTGCCAACGGAGAATGAGCCTGTGGATGGGACGAGTCCAGTAAGCAGCCTCAGAGCGTTTATGGACCCTTACCTGGTCGAACCTCCATCTTCGGGAGGGCATGCTCATCCTCGTGGCCACAGTCGAACCAGTTCAATGCAAGGCTTCTATAACTCGAATCCACCACCTCCAGGGTTCAACTTATCGAACCAGGTCGTTAGTCGACCTAGAGCAGGGGGCCACCACCGATCGGAATCGCACGGCAGCAGTAAGACGTTAAAGTCGAACCCCAAACAGGTCTCAGCCCTTCGAATCCCTCATCAGGACTCCTTCCTGGCAGATAGTAGCAGTGCGGAGGAGCCGATGAAGCGATCTCCGTTTGATGCCAGCCACCATTCTGACAACGAGAGGCTTCCAATACGGTACAGGGGTAGTGTAGCCGACTTGAAACTAGAGCATACTCCCTCTGCAACCTCCCTGCCTAGCCCTCTCTCTGATCCAAGGTCGGCTACGACGCGACAGGGATCATGGAAGTCCGACAGGGTCTCACCTGTATCTCCCATGACTGCGGCTCCTACTCCAACCTCACAGAGTGCGGACTACGGAAACAAGTCGATATCAGCTAGGCGACAGAACACTCTGGAAGTTGTGCCGAAAGGAGTCAAGGGTTCTCCATTCGCGTCAACCTCTGACGTTAGTGAGTATAGATCAGCACCAAGCACTCCCTTGATCATTGAAACACCCGACGGTGAAATCGCATCACCGCTGAGCTCCAACCCGCCGACCGCTCCGCCGAGCGATCCTGAGCCTGGTCTTCAATCAAACCATAAAACGAAGGCTCGGCAGATCTTTAATAACACCGACGATGAGGTAGATCCTTCTTCCGCAGGTGCCTGGCTGGGAGATGCCGGACCAGAGAGGGAATATGTGCGCAAAGCATATATGGAGCTCTTCGATTGGAAGGACCAAAATATCCTGGATTCCCTTCGGGGTCTGTGTGACAGAATTATACTCAGAGGCGAGACCCAGCAAATGGACCGCATCATGGATGCCTTTGCCCAGCGATGGTGCGAGTGTAACACATCGCATTCGTTTAGGTCAAGCGGTAGGAATTTTCTGACTCCTTTGGCACAATTTTACTGATATATGCAGATGTGGTGCATACAATTTGCTACTCGATCCTGCTCCTGAACACCGATCTTCATTTAGCAGACATTGATCAGAAGATGACGAAGGTCCAGTTTGTGCGCAATACGCTTCCGACAATCAAACGCGTCGCCCAAGGCTCTGAGATCGAGAAAACTTTGCGAGGCCCAAAGCGCACGACAGCTTCTTCGAATGATGATACACACAGTGCTGCACCGGATTCGAAGCGGCCTGTCGACCCGCCAATCCACGAAGATGGCCATCCCGAACTAGGCGAGCCTGCACCGGAAGTTGCACAAGGGAGAGCGTGGGAGTTACAAATCGAAGGCGTTCTCAAGTCTTTCTATACCTCGATCTCACAGGAACCTCTCCCGCTCTTCGGCGCCCAGGCTGAACCAAACACACAACTCAATCAGTCTAACAACTTCTTGACCATCGGGGGTACTATGCTTCGTCGCACACCTAGCGTGCTGAGCAAGGCACACTCTGACACGAATCGAGGTCGGTATGCCAGCGAAAGCAAGTCACTCGGCGCCCGCTTTATTACAAAGACGCGGTCGAGACCACGGCTACCGTCTGCTCCGGGCTTTGCCTCTAGTAGAACTAGCATCGACGAGCAATCCTCGGCCTGGAGCCCATCAATGTCGAGCACATGGAGCAAGGCATCTCTGGGAAAGACATTGACGTCAATGTCGGTCGATTCGTTTGGCACTGAAGCTACTCACGCCGATTATCAATCGTCTATCGGTTTTGCGAATGCTTTGAGCCAGGCAATCATTCGGGAAGACCAACTAGAATTACCGATTGAGGACGGGGCTAAAGCACTGTCCCTGCTTGAAGACGAGTCCCTTGAGCTTTGCGGCGCCCCGTGGGCGAAGGAAGGCATCGTGAAGCACAAATGCCATCTTGAAGGTGTTGACAAGAGATCAAAGGACAGGAATTGGAATGATTGCTTTGCCGTTATTGAGAAAGGTTACATGAGACTTTTCTCATTCTCGATGACCGCGAAGTCTCTGAGAAACAGGGCACGAGCTCCCAAAGTTCCCGCTGTCGTGGGCGGTGGGAATTGGCAGGACAATGCTGAGGAGTTGTGGAAATTCACCCTGCGCCATACCATCGCCAGCTCTCTTCCACCGCCCGGATACTCAAAGGCTCGACCCTATGTGTGGGCGCTCAGTTTGCCGACAGGCGCTGTTCATCTCTTCTCAGTTGGCACACCTGACATTGTGAAAGAGTTCGTTTCTACCGCCAATTACTGGAGTGCTAGATTGTCGAAAGAGCCGATGATGGGTGGTATCAGTAACATGGAGTATGGCTGGAGTGATGCCGTGGTCAATCGCTCCTTGACCTCGCCGGACCTTCAATCCGGACACAACGCGGCGATGAGCCCGCGCCCCAGCACACAGATGTCCATGCGGAGCTCTATGGACCACGTTGGCGGCGTCCGGCCGAAACTTCCTGGAGACAAGGCTCATATCAGCGAGTGGATGCCACCTCAGCAATCCATGTTTGCCTCTCAGTTGATGGAGGTGGACCAGCTTCGAGCATTACAGACATATGTCACCAATGTGGAGGAAGAGTTGCAGCGGCACAACGAACTGCGAGGTCTAATGCTCCTAGCATTCACAGTCAAGCACCCCAACGCCACCAGAGCAATGAACAACTGGGAGCGGAAAAGCAGTTACTTGCTTCGAGAGATTGTCAAATTCCGCACGTACATCGATACGCTGCAGAATGCACAGATGACGAAGGAGAAGATTTATCGGATGAGAAAGGAGGAAGAGAGAATACATCGTGCAGCGATGGACTCTAGGAACTAGGCCACGACGGCTCTCCCTGGGGACAATGTGATGCCTGAGCGGTGCTTTATGGATGTTCTCGAACGTGACATGGAGATCTTATTTTTGCTGATGATGGTGAGCGGTTGATTCGCTTCGTTGTACTATACCCTTGTACTTGTAGTAGACGACTTGACGAATTATGAAAAGGAGACCAAGAAGGATGAGGACCCAACGCGACTATCTCTGACTGAAGTTGGTATTCAAAATCCACCTCTATACGAAGTATGTGGTAGATAACTACTAGTATGCAAGGCATTGACCGGCCAGTCTTGCTTGTACCACTCTCTGACAGTTCCAATGCTTAGAAGAGACAGGGCCGGATCGAGGTCGCACCAGTCGAAGCCACTGGTGCTACTAGCTTGGCCGTATCGCTTGCTACCGTTCGGCCTAGTGGCCCCCCCCCCCCCCCGAAAGAGAACTCCTGAGACGACGGGACAGGAAGGCTGAAAGATTGTGTCTGACAAGATGATTTGCTAAGATTTCGTGCATGCCGTCCCTGTCTTCAGTACTGGAAAAGGAACATAACTATTGTGTCTGACCAAAACATACCTGTCCGATCATCAAGTGGATCCTTGCTTCATGTTGATGACCTGCCCAGATTGAGTCTGGCGCAGGGTTTCAGAGAAGGGGCAGATACTTTGGACTCTCCCTCACCCCCCGGACACGTTTTCACCATCTCAGTCGATTGAACTTGCGCAGCGAGCCCGAGTATTCCTGTCAGAGTGAGCAACTCACTTGGCGATTACGGCCTCCCTTCGATCCACCCTTGTCCTCTCTATCTTCGAACCCCAGAGACAACAAACGCGCTGCATCACCATCTCCCGTCGTAGCGCGTGTCAATACTCTCCGTTCTCCACACAGATGTCCGCACCACGGTATTCCAGAGGCTCGAATCACATCGGCCTGTCATTGCGCATGCCCACGGCACAATATTAGCCCTGACTCGACGGTCAACTGGTATAATGTCATCCTCGATTCTAAGCAGCCGGCCTCGAACCGAGCGCCGGTCGTCGAGGGTGCCGGGCGGGTTCGAGCCAGAAGAGGAGGACGACGTGGCATCCTCAGGGAGCGACCATGATGATTCGCCCGTCCGAGAGCACGATTCCTCTTCCTTTCTGGCCGGTCCCAGAGACCCCAGTAGTCTCCTGCAGCCCATCGACGAAAGCACAAATCTCGAATTGCCTGCGAACCTGACACTGAACGAGAGCGAGATGAATAAAATGTTATTGGATGTTGAGTCGAGCTTCATACCCGAACAGTCCGGCCTGGTGGAAAAGGACTCGTCAACCACTGGCGCAGACGACACGCACTTGTTCGGCGTTGTCAACGACAATGTCGCGGTGCGCAGGAAACCGCACCCTATTCAGATTTCCTACCCGTCCGAGGACACAGAAAACCATGCAGCTGGAAGACTCTCCCAATCACCTCGTACACCGCCCGGCGCTTACAAGACACCTGCACCGGAACGACGCGAGCTCCGACACACTATCGAAAGCGACGGTTCAACTCGCCAGATACCAAGCACATCCGTGCTGGAAAGCATGTCCTCCTCCCCAACTGCCGCTGCCGCTGCCCGAACCCTTTCCCGAGTTCAGTCACTGGCCACCATGGGCGGATACGAGACGGCCAATGAGTCAGAGGACCAAATGATGCCCGAGAGGCGGTCTCGGAGTGCACAAGACGATGCTGAAGCTACCCCACGAAAGAATGAAAATCGATATCTGGGCTTGCCAAACAGCGCTGACGGACAACAAGAAGGTTCAGAGAGCGCATCCAAACAAGGGACAAGGCGACCAGGATACCTACACAAGAGATCTTCTCAAGCACGCCTGTCCTACGATTCCATGGCCAGTTCCAATACTGACGCTAGCGATGCCACGGTAGGGGCGGACTTTGCGCTGCAATCAGGAGGGGCACTGCCCGATTCGAGCGCGCAGCGGAAAGCTAGGGCTGTGATTTCCAGACAAGCAAGCCTTGGAAGCATGATGTCTGGGATATCAGGTATCAGCGACGATGAACCTCGAAGACAGGCTGGTGCTACTGACTTGACAACATTGGCGGAAGAGAGCCCCAACTCTAACAAGGCTGCCGGATACTCTACGCCGCGCGCCTCGGTCTTCAACTTCAACATGCCTACCGACGCAGTCATTTCTAACAACGCCAGAGATCTGGAAGTCCCAGGTACTTTCGCTCGTCAGTATCGGCAAGAGCGAAGCATGTCCCCGGAAAAGAGCAACACGATCATAGGCATGACACCAGGCCCCAAGCGAGGCCTGACCCTAAAAGAGCACAGAAGCACTGTGGAAAAGCTGGGCAAAGAGAACTTCGACTTGAAAATGAAGATCCATTTTTTGGACCAAGCACTGCAGAAGAGATCCGAGGATGGTATCAAAGAGATGATCACAGAAAATGTACAACTAAAGTCCGACCGATTGAGGTTGGAAAAGGATAATCATAATTTACGGAAGCAGGTTCGAGACCTACAAAAGAAGCTCGAAGAGACGGGTACCCGCGACTCGCCGACTGCTGATCAAGGATATGCCACCGACGAGGAAAGGAGTCCCACCGCTGAGGAAGAAGTCATCTATCTCCGAGAAAGGGTCGAAATTAGTGAGATAGAGATAGACAAACTCCGCCAAGAGAATCTGGCAAAGGAGACTGAGAAGCGAAAGCTTGCCGAAATGGTCAAGAGCTTGGGCGATACTCGCGCCGCAGCTTCCGATGTCGGTTCAAGGGAAGAGCGTGATATGTGGAAAGATATGCTCGAGGCAGAGACCATTGCGCGTGAGCAGTCGGAAGAGGAGAACAAAAGGCTTCGGGAAGAGGTTGCGAAGCTAAGAAGTGAGACGTTCGTGTCTGCAAAGTCCAACTCGCGCAAGATCAAGATCGGAGGCTCGGTTGTTTCGAGGTCTAGTAGTGTCGAAGCAGCAAATGCCAAAGACGCAGAGATTGAGAGACTCAGACATGAGGTTTCGGAACTGCAGAAGATGATTGGCGCGCAAGCTTCCACCCTGACATCTCGGAACAAGGAAAAAGAGCGGCTGTACCAGGAAATCGAAGATTTGAAACTCGGCCGGATGGGCGGTCTTCGGTCTGTGGCTGGTGACAGTATTCTCGACCGGTCGGCGTCCAGAGCAAGGTCCCATTCCCGGGCAAGCAATGGAACGAGGTTGTCTCGGATGAGCGACCAAGAGCGCGAGGTTCTCGAGACCAGGATCAATGAGCTTCGCGATGAAGTGTCCCAGTTGAAACTCGAAAACCAGAACCTTCAGAATCAATTTGACGAAGCACTTGCAGAGCTTGATGCTGTGGATGCCCAGGCGCAAGCAGACGCGGATCAATTCAATGAAGAGCTCCATTTGTTGACTCAAGAGCGCGACAATGCCCTGCGCGACGCCGAGGAACAAGATCAAGCCTTTCAACAGCTGAAGAGTGAGGCCCAGGAGGAAATCGACGGCCTGGGAGACGAGCTTGATGCCAAGGCAGAGGAATGTGCCAAACTCGAAGGCGAACTGAAAGCCCAGGTGGAGAATGTCAAGGCGTTGCAGGCCGAGATGCGATCTGCTGCGGAAGGCCTCGTCCGCCTCGAGGAAGATGCACAGCAAAATCTGGCACGGTACCAGTCAGTCAAAGCAGAGCTTGATGACGCCAATCGTGAGCTTGAGAATCTGGAAAAGACTCTCGGCGAGGCTGAAAGTAAAGTGCAAAGATTGACGGTGCAACAGGAGAGCAGTCATAATGAGATTGCATTCCTACGCGAGGAGCAAGACGCCGACAAGATCAAGATTGGCGATCTAGAGTCGCTGCTCAAGAAGGTACACCTTAACTTGGAATCCGAAAGGGACAAGAGTAGGGAACTCGAACGGCGGATCAATGAAGAGCGTGCTCAACGAGATGCAGTTGCCAGCCAAGAGAAGCAAGAGGTCCAGAGAGTCATCAACGATCTCAATCGGGAAGCTTCTGGGGCAAAGGATGAACTCCGAAAAGTCCGCAAGGCACTATCGGCTCGTGACATTGAAGCCAAATCGTACCAGGAGCGACTGTCCGAGTTGGAGGAGAGTCTACGAAACATCATTGGAGACCCGAACAGCTCTAGATCGAGCTTGATCAGTGCAGTCACCAAGATGCGCCGCGAATTGGATCAGACAACCGTTGAGCTTGAGTCTGTCCGAAGACGACTGGATCAGACGGAAAATCTGCTTGCTGATCGTGACGCGTTGCTGGAGTCGACGAGCCATGAATGCCGAAAATTGGCAGATGCCTATGAGCGTGAGAAGGCAGGCCGACGACAAGACAAGGTCGACTTTGAGAAGACCAACAAGGGTCATAACTCGACCACGAGGGCGCTCACATCTGCATCCACCAGGATTACCGAGCTAGAAGGACTTCGTCAGAATGACAGGAAGCGGATGGCACAGATGGAAACCCAACTCAAAGATCAACTGTCGGAGAGAAACCAGGTGTTGCTAAACCTCTGGAAGAGGCTATCTGCCATGTGTGGGCCAGATTGGGCTCACAACAATAGTTTGATCAATGGCAACCTCCCTTCTCAAGAGGTGATTGGAAACATGCTCTTCTGGCCAGGCTTCAGCCGGAATTTGCTGTTGGCTGCAAAGCAGGTCGAGGGCACTCTATCCACTTTCAAAGAAAAGATCAAACGCGTCGAACGCGAGCTATATAAGGAATACCAGGCACTGGAGCAAACCCTCGAAGTACGGACCCGGAAGCTGGAACGTATCGAAGAGAGTTGGGAGCAGATGAAGATCAAGATGTCGGAAATGGAAAGTCGCATAGACACCGGAGCTCGAACGCCGAAATCCAGCAGGACTCCTGAGATCAGCAAACTGAAGGGTGAGAATCGGTTACTAAAGGCCGAGCTCCAGCTCCTCCAACAGCAACAGGCACATCACAATCTACACCACCGGCGAGACAGGAACGAGAGCCGGGCATCTGGATATTCGAGTATCATGTCAAATGAGGGACCCGGTCAGGTTGACGGGGCAGCGAATGGCGGTGTTGGAGTTCCAGCCCGATCGTCAAGCATGAGGCGCACTCGGACTATGGAGCTGCACCGACATCATTCCACCGGGATTGTGGAGCATCTCGCCAGCATGGGCGGCGACGTGACCTCTTTGCGCTCTAATTCCATCTCTAGCCGTCACTCAGGATATACCCAGGGCGGCGAACGCGACCGTGGTGGCCTGATGATTCCGGCGGGGCCCTTCAACGCCCCAGCCGACGGAAAGTTCTCCCTGCCACCACCTCCACGAGAGGCCCCTCCTGCACCACCAAGCACCGCGTCAGGCTCGGACATAGCGAGTATTACCGCGGTAAGTGTGGGCGGCGGTCAGGGTCAGGAGAAATGGATCCATCGCCTCCGAGAATTGGAGAGGAGGTTGAAAGCCGAGCGGGAGGCCAGGCTCCTGGATCGAAGTGGCGCGAGGAGAAGACTGGAAGAAAGAGACGCGGTGAATGAAGAACTGCGACGCGAATTGGAGCGAGAAAGGGTCAGGAAGGTCAGCGCCGACGCCGGTTTCGATGTAGGCCATGCGATCTCGCCGCCTCCCCTGACATTACCGCCGCCACCCCCTGGCGCCGACTCTGAGCACATGCAAGAAGCGGCGTTCGGTGCGCACGGGCCAGCGCACGGTATTGGAGGAGCGAGGAAGCGCTAGGTTCGCGTCATGGGTATTGGATTGAAACTGACGCAGCCCTGGTATCAGCCCAAAGTGCGAGGCAAAGTCGAATGTAGACCTACTGAGTGAGTGAAAGGGGAGAGACGGGACGAGCCTTGCATATCTGGAGCTAGGCAAGGTGGTCACCGTTGCTTCTGCTGTGTTTCTTTGGTTTTTTGGGCTATCCTTGTATCATCATACTTTGGGGGATTCAAGGGGGTTGAATATCACTCTCACTATAGCGCAGGCAGATGGCTGCGACGGACTAGTACAGCTTAAGCCTATTGACAGTGGGCCGACGGGTTTCGTTGCGGCGATCAGATGTCCGGTTCGGAATAAAAAGTACAAGAAGTTCAAATACCGTCCGAGGGTGTAGAAGCGCCGGTTATCACTTGATGCTCGGGTAATAATAAAATAATAGATGGCTGCGGAACGAGTCCCGAAGAGGAGCTGCCGAGTAGGTACCAACAGTATCGGTCCGCGGATCAGCCGGTGGGCCTTTGGCGCCATCGAACAAGCCCCACCGGTTGAAATTCCGGGCTCTCTTTCGTGGTGTGTGGTGTGTCAATCTCTGGTTTCGGGCTCGGGCTTATTCTCCCAGTGCATGTACCTCGCTCACCGCAGCCTTGTTACCCGTTTCACATCACCTGGACCTCTCTCTTCTCTCTTGCGGCTCGAAGGGTTGCCGAGCACACAACTATGAATCAATCAGCCCCGACCCGGACGCATAGTCCGCGAGTGGAGGAGCACGCAGCCGCAGCCGCAGCACAAAAGGGGAAGTCAAAGGTCAGAATTACCGCCAACGACGGATCGAGGCGGGAGACCGTTACAATAAAACAAGAGAAGCCCGCAGTAGTGAGCAATGGCCCCGCCGAGCCCGAGGAGCCACCAGTGGAAGTCGAGGACGACGGCGAGGGCGACGAGGAAGAGGAAGAGGATGATGATGATGACGATGACGAGGTAGACAAGTGAGTCCCATCTCCATTGGATTCCCAAGCTGTGTCTTTCTCGACCACCCACCCGCCGTCGGGCACTTTGCACAGGAGAAAAACCGTTCCCGCTAATATTCTGATCCGGTTTTGCGTCAGCTTCACCACTTCCGAGATCGTCACCGTCCACGTCGGCCCCAAGCGTAAACGTTTCCATCTTCATCGCGATCTCATCTGCGAACGCTCCCCCTTCATGGAGAAATGCCTCCAAAAGAACCGGTTCGACGAGGGTTATAAGAACGAAATGTACCTTCCAGAGGACGACCCAAAGGCCTTCAGCATAGTGGTGGAGTGGATTTACAGAGGAAGACTGCCTTCTTTTGGGACCAGTGCGGGCAGTGGTGGCAGTGCCGCGGCTGCGAGGGGACTCTGCGGGTTGGATATGTGTGATATATCTGCTGCGTATTGCATGGCGGATAAATTCGGCATGGAGGAACTGCAGAATGGAATCATGGATTGCATACGGACGCATTATCGATTGAGTACCAGTTCCGGTACCACCACCAGTGCGAGCACGAGTGCCAGTGCCAGTGGAAGTGGGCACAATCATAGTCACTTCCATCACATCATCAATTGCGGACACAGCAGCAGAGATTCCACCCGCACGAGCCTCGGCCTATCAGGAACAGCTGCAGACAGAGATAGAGATGCTCACGCAGGATCCGACTCAACATCACACCTGGTGCCCCGCCCAAGCTATGCGGCTCTCGCTCTCGTCCACCTCCATGGTCCACACAAGTCGCCGCTGAAACGATTCTTCATCGAGCACCTCGTCCATCACATGATGACCTTTCCGCGTCATTACCATGACCATCTCAGGAAAAACGTCGGGGAGGACAGCCGCGCAGAGTTTGAAGAGCTCTTCAAGATCCCGGAATTGTCGCTGTTGATCATGCGCAAGGTATGGCAATGGCAAATCGAAAAGTTTGGCGACCCTGCGAGGGACAAGGGCTGCGCGTACCACGTTCATTCCACCACGCAATGCGACTCGAAACCAAGGTCGACATCTGCCACGGCGGGGAAGAGCACTACGGGTAGTCGGCCCCTGGGACAAGGCATGGGAGGGAGTCCCAGCACGCATCCCGCGGTGATTCTGCAGAACTTGGCCAGAAATCAGCAGGCGCAGGCCGGTTGGATGGGTGGCTCGTCGTCGAGTTTAGGCGGATGGCATCCTGGCTCCGGGTGGTAGGGATACCCACGAGAACACCGCAACAAAATGAACGGGGTCGGTGGAGATTGCGGCCACGGGATGCGACTGACGACGACGACGACGACGACGACAATTCTTCCCAGCAGGACAAGGCTGGGGGTCTATGGAGCAGCCAAGTTACTTTCGGTATTGTTCTCTTTTGACTGGGCGCAGGGGCGCAACTGATGGATATTCGTCTATATTCAGGGTACTAGAGAGGAAGAACTTTCCGGGTGCAAACTGGTTGCAATGTTGTTTTGAGCGGGTGTTCTAACTCCTTTGAGGGCCATGAATGTTGGAAGCAGATCTTGATATGATGAGCAGGTATTACGCCTTAGTTACGAATGATAAGATATAAATGGAATAGCTTTAATGATTCTATCCTTTTGATCCCGACATGATGGCCCTGCCTCTTCCGCCCTCTGGGATATTGTCGCGGTATACCTCGTTCTCCTCTTCGGCACTGGTTCTCTGCCCTTTGGACTCTCATATATAGTACTCCTACTACGGGGATCTATTTTGCGCAGTGGTACATGGGTTGCTGCTGCAGCTGATCCGTCGTTGGTTCGATCTAGGATTTTCCCCTTGGTGGAGACAGGGGATCGTCAGGTCGCCTTTCTTCATGGAGAGCAGGGGTGGCTGTGATGTGATGCAAGCGATAAGGCATGGGAAATGTGGGCCAGTGAGATCCAGCTGGGGGGCTCGTGGGTTGCGACGGCGCGGTAGACGGCGAGGTGGGCTAGCGCCGAGACAGGTTTAACTGCGCGTCTTGGGTCGCTTGGGATGGTTGCGCGAGATGATCAACCTGAGGTCTTGGGGGCAAGCAGAAGCAAAGCTGGACTCGAACCCTTTTTTTTTCTCTCCCCAGCTCTTCCTCTTCTCACATGCTTTTGTTTTTGGCTGGCCGCTTGCCCTTCGTTCTCTCCCTGATATCTGAGATGATCCGACGGTTGTCCTCTCGGGATAGAGAGGGGATGTCAGTCACGACCGCCTAGCTCTTGCCTTGTTTGAAAGACTACGTCACGGTTTTTTGAATTGTGGGAATATTGTTGGCGTTGAGCAGGAGATTTGTTCGGGGCGTGCAATCAAGGACGCGGCGCAGCTGGTCACAGCAGTTTCAATCTTTGCGCGAAGCGAGCCATCATCTAGCAATCAAGATCGCTGTGGGCCAGGCACGAGGTAAACTTCGGCGGGGTCGAGATATCGGTCACACAACCACAACGACACAAAAGCAGACACGACTCAATCTCCAGATCGCTAGAGGAGTTCGAAGACACACAGACTCATGCTTATACCATCGGCAAAGATGCCCTCTGAACGCACGCCTCTCCTCTGGTCCCCTCGCTATCCCGATGGCGACACCAGCGACTTTTCCACCGATCCACACGCACAGTTCTGCATGATGACCGGCGTTCCATCCTCTGCCCCGACCCCTGACGGTAAACCGCGGCCTTCCTCGAAAATACCACCAAAGTCCCTGTACGGTAGAGCGCTTCGCCAACTCTCCAAGCAGCGTTTTACATATTACATGACCGCCTCACTGTCCAACACAATGCTACTGACCCAGGTCGTTCTGGGCGCCGCCTTGACCGCCTTGGGGGCCTCGGAATCAAGCCACATACTCATCACCATTTTTGGGGCTATGAACACCATAATTGCGGGACTTGTTGCGTATTTGAAATCCAGGGGCCAGCCGATGAGAGCACGGATGTACCGGGATGATTTGGAGAGAGTGGTCGACGAGATTGAGAACTCGGAGGTGATGTGGCTGGGCATCACTACAGGAGTGAATGGCTATGATGATATCGACACTGGCGATAGGAAGAGTGGCGAGAGGGGAGCGGCGGCCGTGACCGTTAGAAGCGAAGTGGCCAGGCTGACCAGATTGTATGATCGCGCCGTAAGGAACAACACCGTCAACAACCCGGACATGTATATGACGGGAACCGTGGATGGGAACTATGCAGGAGCAACTTTGAGGAATCGGGCTGCTATTGGGGGCGGGCCGCCTGCTCCATTGCCAACGCCGGTTCCAGCACCCATCGCAGCCCCTGTAGTCGGGACAAATCCAGGTCCAGCCGTTGTGTCTGGTTCAACGCCCGCACCAGCACCACAACCAGTGCATGACCCAGACGAAAGCCCGGCCACCGCGCCACCCAAACCGAAGGAGGAACCGAAGCCGAAGGAAGACAAGAATGAGGAAAAGAAAGAAGCGGACACGAAGGGTAAAGAGAAAGAAGCCAGAGATTCAGAGAGTGATGGAGAATCGTCCAGGGAATCGTCTGGGGAATCGTCCGAAGCAAAGAATTCGAAATCGAAAAAGAAAGAGGAAAAGGCCGCTGACGAGCCAGAGCAGAAGGGAAACGAACAGCAACAAGAGCAACCGCAGCAACCGCCACATGACCCCGATGCAGAGCCTGCCAGCGACCCGAACGTACCGTTGAAGAAAGTTGCAGGCGATGCGCCGGACGGGGACGACTAGACCACATGATGCTGGTAGAGGGACTGGCACAGGAGAGCAAAGCTCTAGCGGGAAAGAATAAAGTGGCATTAACGAGTGTCTGCAAAAGGAGAAATTTGTAGACATGGATATGGTATTGTATTTGGCTCGGTACCTTCTGGACCGTAGCACGGAATGTACTAGCAGAGGAAGAGAGGCGAAGATGGCCTACATATTCAACACCTCACTAATAACAAGCATACACCAGAAACAACTTCAATATCTTTTGCATCGATTGCGTGGAGAGTCTCACATATCAACCGGTTGAATGCCTCATTGCCAGCACTGGATTAAAGGCCTCTCTCCATTTCCCGGAAACCAGCTCTGCAAATCCAACGCCCGCCTCCTTGATCTCCTTTGCCGGCTTCTGCAGGATCTCCAACGTCTTGTTCGTGTAGTCGTCCAACTCCATGGGTGGCACGAGTTTGTCCAATCGATTCTCGGCATCGAGGTCGGTTCGCACGTACGGCGGGGCGACTTCGATGACGTTGACGTTGGTACCATGAAGACTCTCCCTAAGTCCCACAAGGAAAGAGTGTACGGCAGCCTTCGTGGGACAATAGACGGGGAACAACCCCATCGGAACGTATCCGAGACCCGAGGAAGTGATTATGAAGGTGGCCTCACGCCCCAAAGACAACAGATGCGGGATGAAGTGCCGGGCCAGGATTATGGGTGCTGTCAGGTTGGTGTTTGTCTCTTTGATGATCTTTTCATCGGTGAAGTTGTCGAGAGACAAGAAGTTGCCCTGATACTGGATGCCGGAGTTGACCCAGACTGTGTCAATGTCAGGATATTTGGAAAGGATGGTCTTGACATGACCTGGGAGAGCAGCCAGATCACTGTTGTCCATGGTATAGGTTTCGAGACCTGGCAGCTCCTTGGCCAGTTGCACAAGACGGGCTTCGCGGCGCCCGGTGATGATGACCTTTTTGCCCATGCGGTGAAAGGCTCGGGCGAACGATTCACCTATTCCACCGGTGCCTCCAAAGATGAGGATGGTGGACATGGAAGAAGTCATGGTTGTGGTTATTGATCCCTGTTGAGACGTTTGAAGTGTGAATGAAAGCTGGAGTATCGACCTGTAGCACCAGATGTTTTGCAATCTTTATATACTAATAGATATATATTTTCCTTCCTGTAAATATGTGCCTCATAATCACTGCCACTGCCTTAGAGGCCGGACGTTGATAACTTCCCAGAGGAGCCAACAATGGAGATAGCGGACTGATCCACTTACCTGATTCGGCAACAGTTATGTTGCTATCCGATTCCTGGTCCAATCGGAAGATTGAAGTGGGTCTTCCACTGGTCTTCTTAAATGGCCGACGTCTTTATCACCGACTCATCCATTTCTGCCTCGCATACAAACGACGGCAATGGCGGCGACGACTGGGTCCTCACTCAACTGTTGGCTGTCCGCTGACGTCCTTGTGCATTTCTGTCGTGCCTGGTTCGTTTGGTGATTGCTCGCATCCATGCTGTCCATGCCGTGTGTCAAACACCCCTTGACCGATCCGTGTCTCGGCCCACCAGACGCCCCCTGGATACCATCGCACAGGTTTGATACCCAGCATGACGGAGGCGCCTTGAGAGACTGACGCGCAGATACTGCAGCAAGTCACGGTGCTAGGTCGCCTGCTCCCCCTTCACCCGAAACGTCTTGACTGTGAATGCATTTCTTTCCTGGAGTCAGTCACAGGTGACAGGTCCGCGGCATCACTTCGCATTTGCATTTGCATTTGCATTTGCATTTGCATTTGCATTTGCATTTGCATTTGCATTTGCATTTGCGCAACAGCTGGTTGTCGTGGCCCGGAGCTCGTGGACTGCATTGACTGCGGACCGACATCAAGCGCTTTTCTGTGACTATCACCAAATCATGCTTCGTTTGCTATATGAGGGCTACGGCCCAATCAAGGCTCTGTTGCTTCTTGGAAGCTGGAGATCTGGATCAAAGCCTGCCCAGAAGATCATCGGCCCCGACACTACTACCATGAACGCCAATATGTCTCTTATACAGGAGGGAAACTCGACCCTCAGCATCACCCAGGCGGCCATCAACGTCTTCCTGGCCTCGAAACAGGACGACGGTCTGATCAGCGGCCTGGGCTACTGGCAGGTCGCAAACGGCTACACCGCCATCGCCCTGCACGATCTCTGGTCCAACACCCCAGTCTACGGCGGCGTCTTGGACGAGCTCATCGGCAAAGTCGAGGAGAACAACACAAAATTGTATTAACGATATGAACGACGACT